TCTGTTAACATGAAATCTGTGTACAGTGACATGGCCCTCTTTACAGGGAGGGGGCAGATGAAGTCATTTGTGTGGCAGGTCTCTGGTGGGTATGATGGAGGGACCAGGGCAGGACACACACCCTCTTAATGGATCTTTATTTTGGCTTTCTCAGGATGGGCCTCCTCCAGGCCTAGGCCGAGTGATTGGTGAGCTGGGAGAGGACGGGTGGATAAGGGTCCAGTGGGACACGGGCAGCACCAACTCGTACAGGATGGGGAAAGAAGGAAAGTACGACCTCAAGCTGGCGGAGCTGCCAGCCTCTGCACAGCCGTCGGCGGAGGACTCGGACACAGAAGATGACTCAGGTGGGTGATTCATGGAGGCATTTAGTCCAAGGCAGTGAATGGATTGTCCAAAACAGTGTGTCAGGGCTCTTCTGCAGACAGTGCTCAGCCCTCTGAGCCTGCAGGTGACACTAATCGATGCAGGTGTACAAAGAGGCTCTGGGTTGCAGCAACCCTGCTGGAACTAACTTCTTGCATTTTCCCTCCATTGCTGCTCCACCTTTGAGAGTGTGATGGTGAGGCAATGTGCACCTTCACCTCTGTTGGGTCTTGTATGCTTGTCACTGAGTTGAGTCAAAGGGAGTGAGCCAGGGCCTGGTGGAAGGCTGTACCTCCTTCTCCAGTCACGATCCCGACCAGAGCACGGTCTGGTCCCATCTGCCTCCTGCCTTTACCTTTCCTCTGTAGCCCTTGACTCAGAACATATCACATAATATGGATTTAGTCAGTACTTTATTACTTCTAGGAAAGCAGAGGTGAGAATTTGGGGGTGGACCTAGAAAGTTAGATCCTATCTAACTTCATGACATTTTTCAGCTATGTCCAAAAAACCTTGGGACAAGTGAAGGAAGCAACACATGGCTGGTCTTGGTAAGATTGTCTGAGAGGCCAGCACTGCCTCACCAGGCTCCAGTGGCCACTGTGTATGCAGTGCCATCAGGCCAGGCCTGCTCTTAGAGTGGGCAGAGACCTGGAGCAGACCTTCTGGGGCCCAGTCCCCCAGATGTGAACGGAGATGATGCCTGCTTTGTGGGGCTGTTAGGAGTGATGCACGCGGAGTCCCCATGCCCTGACAGTGGATGCTGGCTGTGTTACCACTGTATCTTACCCACAGCCTGCCATGCCAGACCACGGGTCACCCCTTCCTCTGCCTACCTTGATAGGTGGGAGGCAGGCCTGGCTGTCTGCCTGGGGGCTTTCCTCAGGGGTGTCAGAGGCTAGGCAGGGGTGGCCATGTGACAGAGTGTGGCTTTTGTGGCCACATGCCTCCTCGTTCCAGAGCTAGCCAGGCTGGACATGTGAGTGGCCTCCCTGCTCCAGAGTGCAGATACTTTGTTGTCATGTAGGTCATAGCTAGCTCATCAGAACTGGCTGTTGACATTTGATAAGCAGTCTTTCTAAAGAAGTGAAACCTTAGAATCATTTCAGTGTTTCTGAGTTATATGTATGCTGATATGGTTTCAAAAAAATTAGCTATTATTTACAAGGCTCATTTTCTCTGAGCAAGGTGGCAAATGATCATCAGCATGGGTGTTTGGTGTATCCTCAGTTCCATCTTTCCTTCTTGTAAAAATCTGTTTTCTTTTCTGAAGTGAAAACAAAAGAATGTGAAATCTCTGTACCTTCCTCTTAATTTTGTTGTGAACCTAAAACTGCTCTAAAAACCAAAGTCTTTAAAAATAGAAAAAGAAGAATATGATATTAAATCCTTTAAATTATGTACATGGTCATCTTCCAGTTTTATTTGGGAATATAGTTTCTTGTTTTGATTATTTTTTTCAGAAGCTGAACAAATTGAAAGGAACATTCACCCCACAGCAATGATGCTTACCAGCACGATTAACTTACTGCAGACTCTCTGTCTCTCTGCTGGAGTGCATGCCGAAGTCATGCAGAGTGAAGCCACCAAGACTCTGTGTGGCCTGCTGCGAATGTTAGTGGAAAGCGGAACCACGGACAAGACACGTATGGAATGAATGGTTGTGGGCCCGGGAGTCAGCACTGGGGGCTGTAAATTGACCACGTTTGTGAGGATGTGGGAGAGTGTGTGTGTGAGTGAGCGTGTGTATGAGTTTCTTATGGCTGCCATACCAAAGTACCACAGACTGGGCTGCATAAACAGTAGGAGTTTATCGTCTCACAGTTCCAGAGGCTTAAAGTCCAAGATCTAGGTGTGGGCAGGGTTGGTTCAGTCTGAGGGCCATGAGGGAAAGTCTGCTCCAGCCCTTCCCCTACTTCTTGTGGTTTGCTGGTGATCTTTGGTGTGCCTTGGCTTGAAGCATCACCCTAATTTCTACCTTCGTGTTCACATGATATTCTCCCTGTGTATGTCTGTATCCAAATTTCTCCTTTTTATATGGTCACCATTTAACCTCAACTAAACTATTTGTAGTATTGTTTGTAAATAATCTATTTATAAACAGGGTCATATTCTGAGGCACTATAGGGCTTAGGGCTTCCACATATGAATTTTGAGGGGACACTATTCAACCCATAACATTGGCTTAAAACAACAAATTTATTCTCAGTTCTGGAGATCAGAAGTCCCAAATCCAGGTGTCGGTAGAGCCATGTTTCCTCCGTAGACTCTAGGGGAGGATCCTTCCTGCTGTGTCCAGCTTCTGGTGGCTCCAGGTTTCCTTGGCTTGTGGCTGTATCACTCCAGTCTCTGCTTCTGTCTTCACATAGCCTCGTCCCTGTGTCTCTGTGTGTCCTTTCTGTTTCTTGCAAGGACACTTTCATTGGATTTAGGTTCACTCTAATCCAATATGTCATCTAAATTCTTACCTTAATGATTTCTGCAAGAGACTTTGTCTGCAAATAAAATCATATTTTGATGTTCTGGAGGTTGAGAGGGCAGTTTAATCCATAAAGTATTTGTGTGTGAATGTGGGAGTGTGACTTGAGCAAGTGGGGTGGGGTGAGTGTGAGCAAATGTGAGTGTGGATGTGAACATAATGAGTGTGTTTTAGAGTACTGTGATTGTGTGAGAGTGTGAGTGTGATGTGTGCTTAAGTGTTAGGATGTATTTGTGTGAGTGAATGTGAGAGTGAGTTAGTGATTGATATATGTGTGGGTGAGAGTTTGTGTCGGAAGCATGGAGATGTGTGTTTGAGAGTGTCATGTGACTGTGCGGTTGTATGTGTGAGTGTATGCGTGTGAGTGTGTGCAGATGTCCACCAGGGCATATGGGTGTGGTCTGGAGGACTACATATGGGTGAACAGGAGTGAGAACATGAGCGCGTGTGCATCAGCATGTGTTTGAGTTAGTATGTGTGATTGCCTGTGTGAGTAGCGTGTGTGTGAGGTGTGTTTGAGTGTGCATGAATGTGTGTGTGAGGGTGTTACTGGGTGTGTGAATGAGAAACTGAGTCAGTAGGCATGTATGAGGCCTAGTGCATGTGAGTGTGAGAGGGTGGGAGGGGGGTGAGTACTTAAGTGTGTGATGGCGAGAGGGCATGAGTGCGAGTGTTTGTGTGCACACGTGTGTATGTTGTGTTTCAATGTGAGAGTGTGAGTGACTTATGTGAGTGAATGTCAGCATTTTGATTGTCAGTGAATGGGAGGCTGTGTGTATGTGACAATATAGGTGTGAGTATGGTGTGAATATATGTGAGTGTGTGGGTTTCAATATGAGCTTGTGTATAACTGGGTGTTCATGAGTGTGTCTCAGTAATTGTATGTGTGTGAGTTTGTGCATAAGCATATGTGAGAGTACGTATGAGTGAGTGTGATTGTGGGCTGGCCTCTTAGGTCCTGTGTGCATATGTGTGACTGGGCTTGTGGGATTGTTATGTGTTAGTGATTTCGGTAGTGGTGTGAGCATATGTGAGAGTCTGATAATGCATGTGTACGTGAGGGACTGTGGGAGAGAGCGTGTAATTGTGTGAGTGTGCGTGAGAGAATGCATATGAGGGTGTGAGTGAAGGTGAGTGTGTGTGATTGTGGGTAAAGGCAGGGGAGTGTGTCTCGTGCTGAGAGAATGCAGATGTCCCTGTAAGCCTGGCAAGCAGGAGGGCGGGTGGTGGGTGGGGAGAGCAGGTTGGTGTGTGGGACAGTAGGAGAGTTCCCAATAGAGTTCAGCCTCAGCCTCAGCTCAGGGGAGAGTGGAGACCTGGACAGAGGTAGTCCCAATCATTGCAGAATCAAATTGTGTAAACCTAGTGAAAACTTCTCATTCTCATTGTGTTAATGCACACTCCTTAAACTGGAAATTTATGGTACAGATTAAATATAAATAGGATCATGGGGATATGTAAAACACATGAAATTTCAAAAAATATAATAGATATACTGTTGCAAATTACTGCTATTTGAATTATAGATCATTTTGGTATTGCTTAGAAATGGTATGTATATAAAATTCATTAACTAGTTTGAGTTGCTACACATACTTCAAAGGTTTTGAAAATGCTATAAAGGCCGGGCATGGTGGCAGGTGCCTGCAGTCCCAGCTACTTGGGAGGCATAGTTGGGAGGATTGCTTGAGCCCGGTAGTTTGAGTCCAGCTTAGGCAATAGCGAGACTCACCTGAAAAAAAAAAGTGCTGTGAAATGTTCTTTGAGCTAACGTAAAAGCTTTCTCTCATTCCTCACTTTGAATTAGTCAAAGTGCAGCATATTTGTAAAGTAGCTTTTTGTTGAAAATAAAATAATAGGTTAAGGATTGTACTCATGATTTGTTTCCGGGATTTGTTGCCAAGTGACTTTGTTTTCCCTCCTGGCAGCTTCTCCAAACAGGCTGGTGTACAGAGAGCAGCACCGGAGCTGGTGCACACTTGGGTTTGTGCGGAGCATCGCGCTCACGCCGCAGGTGTGCGGCGCCCTCAGCTCCCCACAGTGGATCACGCTGCTCATGAAGGTCGTGGAGGGGCACGCGCCCTTCACCGCCGCCTCACTGCAGAGGCAGGTAATGTGCTGCTGGGCAACCCCTAGCCGCTGAGAGAGGTATCCACATGCCGCTGCTCCGAGCCCTCCAAGTCAGGTGCCTTTATTCAGTGATTAGTGCAGAAAAGAACTAGAAGTGACAAGGTAGATTTTCTAGAAACAGGAGTGAGTGAGGTTCTTGATTATTTTCAGCTGAGTAAGTTGCTAAACTTTAGTTTACTTGCTTTTCTGTTAAGTGATAAATTCTGCAACTGCTCTCATCTGCTTGACAGTGGTTGTAGTAGTGTTACTGTTTTAAGAAGCACTAAAAGAAAGAGAATTCTTTTTTATTGAGGAAACAGACACCTGCATCTTTAATGTCTTTTAACCCCTGATAATCCATACCATTAATCAACTTGGCTGTAAAATAATGAATATCAAAATTTTCACATGGTAAATTGCACTATAGGAACAAAAAGTAAAGAGAAAATAACAATCTGTAATTTCTTAATCTATTAGGTAATTTCTTTTTAATGCTTGTCATTGTGAATTATCTTTTATCAGATCTTGGCTGTGCACTTATTGCAAGCAGTCCTCCCATCCTGGGACAAGACAGAAAGGGCCGGGGACATGAAGTGCCTTGTGGAAAAGCTGTTTGGCTTCTTGGGCAGTATGCTCACTACCTGTTCTTCTGACGTGCCATTACTCAGAGGTGGGCAGCTCTCTCTCCTGCTTGTGCCTAGTTTAAGAGCAGTGCACAGTGAGCTTCTCTCTGTGCTTCTTCCTCAGAGTCCACACTGAGGCGGCGCAGGGCCCGCCCACAGGCCTCGCTGACCGCCACCCACAGCAGCACTCTGGCAGAAGAGGTGGTGGCACTGCTTCGCACGCTGCACTCCCTGACCCAGTGGAACGGACTCATCAACAAGTACATCAACTCCCAGCTCCGCCTGGTCACCCACAGCTGCTCAGGAAAGCCGTCGGAGGGGGTGGGTTCCGTTTGTCAAAATTAATCTAGTTTCATTGTAGATTTGTGAGGAACTGGCAACTCCGTACACTTCCCTAGCCAATCTTACTGTCTGCTGTCTACACTAGGCCCTGCTAGAGGACTACTTCCCCGACACCGAGAACCCGGAAGTGGGAGGCCTTATGGCCGTCCTGGCTGTGATCGGAGGGATTGACAGTCGCCTGCGTCTGGGGGGCCAAGTCATGCATGATGAATTTGGAGAAGGCACCGTGACTCGCATCACCCCGAAAGGCAAAATCACTGTGCAGTTCTCTGACATGCGGACATGTCGCGTTTGCCCGTTGAATCAGCTGAAACCAGTAGGTGAACTTGTGCTCGGTTACTGTATGATAAGGAAACGGGTTTGTACTAGAACTGGGTTCTGACATTAGAACTTGGGGAACTTGATTCTCGAACTTCGTGTTTGCCTTTGAGGAAAACCACTTCCTTTTTGCCCATATTAGTTTATGCTCCTGTGATAAGCAGGGCCTGTCTCATAGGACATGTAGAGCAGTGGTTCACAACCTTTTTCCATGTAGAAAGGGCTTGCTTGTGTTGAGTAACATGACTTAATATAGCAGCTACTGTCATGTTACATCTATGAATTAGGTGAGTGATTTACATTATTTTCATGTAACCCAAGTACAATCTAACTTTATTTTTCTGTAAAATACTATTTTGATTATTTTAGGAATATGTGTTGTAGAAAATTTGAAGTGTATAGAAAATACCTAAGAAGATAACAACCACCACCTTGATGTAATTATTGTTGACAAGTTGGTAGAGAAAAATTAATATATTAATAGATTATATTTATTATATGTATAAGTCTCTATATTGCCTTTAATGCCATATTTTGAAATTATTCTCAGACAGAAAAAGACTTACTGGGTATATGTGGTGTTTCAGAATTAAGACTCTTGGTTATAACTTTCAGAATATTTTACTTGCTTATTTCTTTGGCCACATGTTGAAGGCTTCTATGCTCTCTCCTCAGCTCCCTGCTGTGGCGTTCAACGTGAACAACCTGCCTTTCACAGAGCCCATGCTCTCTGTCTGGGCTCAGCTGGTGAACCTTGCTGGAAGCAAATTGGAAAAGCACAAAATAAAGAAATCACCTAAACAGGCTTTTGCAGGTCAGTACGTGGTGCTTCTTGATGAAAAAGCTATAGTCTTAACTATTCTTGTTTGGATAATGTTCTTTTATCAGAGCAAGTTCATATGACTGCTGAAGGTCTCTCACATGGATTTACTATTTATTGAGTTACATTAGGGAATGTAACCTTGTGTGTGGAGATAAGAGTGTTTTGGGGTCAGCCTTCAACATTGTGTTTGGGGCCACAGCTGAAGAACCTCCATGGCTCACCCTCTCTTGCTCACCATTTATTCTGAACAAGCTTTTGGAAAAGGAATCTGTGTTCCCTTCCTCCCCATCAACCCTCCACCCCATGGCCCTATGGTCCAGTTGCCGTTTTGGAACTTTACTCATGGCCTCCTCACTGCCAGAAACAGGGGCCTTTGTATTAGGATCCACCTTGCTTTTTGATGTGCAAGGTGGGCTAAAACTGTGGCCACTCTTGCTTAAACTCTTCCTTTGTGTCTAGCATACTCTCATGATTTTCCTCGCATTGCCCCTTGCTTGTTCTTAGAGAGTTCTTTACTCTGCCTATTATTTATGCTCTTGAAATCCTTGTGGTTTCACCTGTAACTTCTGCTCATTGTGTCCACTCTTCTTGAGTTTTCTTATTCATTTCTCGCCCATACCTGTGATTGCTATTCTAGCATTTATGTTGGTAACTACCTTTAACTCTAAATCTCCAGTTCACATCTCTGCCTGGAGGTCTAGTGCATGTACACCACAGTGTGTCCAAAATTCATCCACCCTTCCTCATTAGCCACTGTTTCCCATCATGGTGAATAAAGCTGTTTGCCAGTTGGTCAAACTCAGTGTCCAGGAGGCACCTGTTTTGCCCTCCTGTCCCTCACACCCCATGTTCCCCATGCACTTCTTGACCTCCAAACACATCCTGTTTTTGGAATGCTGCTACCAGGCCTGTAGTTTAGGCCTGTGGGGCCCTGATGGCTTCTTTATTCTGCTCCTCCGTTGACCTGTGGCATCTGTGCACATCATTGGATTAGATGAGACTCTAGGGGGATTGCCATAATCTTCTTCAGTTAAAGAACTAGTATATCTCATAAAATTGTCTCAGAGGAGCTTTGCAAGAAAAGGTCAAAGTATCTTGTTTGTAATCTAGGTATATATGGATGAAATTTCAGCAATTTGGGAAACAGTGGATTATACTAATAATAGCTGATATGGTTCTAACCGTGGTAAACCTTTTAATCTATACTCCATCCCATTGAAGTAGGTACCTGGAGAGCAGGGAAGGGTGAAAACCCTGGGGGTTAGAGGACACTAACCCAGAAGCACCAGTTGCAAAACTAGGAAAGACAAAGCCCTTCATCATTGACAGTATTTATGTGTGGTTAGTAAATTCCCAAAGGGCAGGGCATTGTTTATTTTTTCATTGCAGAAGTTCACTGATGGTGAGGAGAGACCAAGCAGGGTGTGCACCTCTCACTGAGCTCTTTTCCTCCACAGGACAAGTGGACCTGGACCTGCTGCGGTGCCAGCAGTTAAAGCTGTACATACTGAAAGCAGGCCGAGCACTGCTCTCCCACCAAGATAAACTGAGGCAGATCTTGTCTCAGCCTGCTGTTCAGGATACAGGCACTGTTCATACAGGTACTTTTAAAAATAGTTCTTACAGATTTGTAAGAAAGGCAGATACTCCAGTAGAAAAGTAGGCAAAGGACATGAGCAAGCAGTTCATAAAAGGGGTCACATTAGATGGCTTATAAATGACAAGAAAGATCTGTGGTCTGACCAGCGGTCACCAACTGTGAATGAAGTTGTCGTCCTCTCACAAGACAGACAAGACCAGGGATCTGGTGGATGAGGAGGGAAAACAGTATCCTCATGCCTTGCTGTTTAAAGTGTCGTGCGTGAGCCAGCAGTATTGATAGCTCTTAGAAAAGTGTTGGAAGTGCAGACTCCCACTCTACCCCAGACCAAAGGAAATGAACCTGTATTTTTGTAAGAAGACCCTATATGGTGGTTCTTCATATGGCCATAAAACAGCACTCTATGAACACATTGCTAGTGGGAATTTAAGTTGGTACAACCATCTAAATGGGGATTTGAGGAAACATGTCAGACTTTAAAATGCAAATATATGTGTATTTGTATACTTTGACTTAGCAAGTTATCTTGTGGGAATTCCATATAAAAAGGAATGTAAAGATAATATGTTTACCAGTGTCATCATGGCTTCTATTTTGGTATTGTTTTTATGTTGAAAAACTGAAGACACTAAAATACCCATTATTATATGGAATATCCCTGAAGTGAAATACCATGGTGCCATTCAAAATGATGGTACATATACAGTCATCTCTCAGTGTTCATGGGGTATTGGTTCCATGACCCCTCAAGAACACCAAAATTCATTGATGCTCAAGTCCCTTTTATAAAATCAGGCATAGTGTTTGTGTATAATCTATGCATATCCTCTTGTATACTTCAAAAATGTAAATAATTGTTATACTGTATTTTTAAAATTTCACATCTTTTTATTATTGTATTTTTATAGTGTTATTTTTTATTTTTAAATTTTTTTCAAATATTTTAATCTGTGGTTGATTGAATCTGTGGATGCAGAACCCATGGATGTAGAGGGCCATTTGTATGTGTTTATTGCCATGGAAACATGGAAATGATAAGTAAACAAAAAGCACATTACTGTGTTTATCTGTTTATAGATGTGCCATAGGTTCATCTGTTTAGCAAAATAGGGACAGTAATCTTTGGTGGAATTTGGGCTGATTTTATTTTCTTTATACTTCTCTATATTCAGTTTTCTAGAATGAGCTCATATCACTTTTAATAGGAAAAAACCAAAGCTATGAAATGGTTTTTGATCATCTGTTGAAAGACATTGTGCTAAGTATTATGGGAGAAAAGATAGTCATTGTTCATGATCATTACTTTCTAGGTTTGGGAGGAGGAGAGAAAATGAATGCAGATGGCTCTGTCTGTCAAATTGGCCCAGTATGCTGTGAGTGTGTGAGCACAGTTCTAAGGCACTGGCAGCTGAAGGCTGGTGCAGGCAGTCCTTGAAGGGCATAGCAGACAGGTGCCAGGTGATAATGACTGGGGGAGACAGATAATGGTGGAGGAGACAGAAGGAGCACAAATGAAAGCAGCGAGTCATTGAGAGAGAGCTGAGCAGCTTTGTGCTTAGAGCTTTAGCTCTGGTGAGTCCAGGGCTGAAGCTAGAGAGGGCAGTTGATGTCCTGTTATAGAGTGCCTGGGAGGCCGAGTTGGAATTAAGGTGCATTTGGAAAGCTGTGGCAGGGGCCATGTGATAAAGATGGATTGATACTCAGGGTGATGATAAATCTGCTAGTGAGGTATAGGAGTGTTTGAAATGGAAGATCATGAAGAGAATTGCTCTTGTGTCAAGTTGAGTGGCTGTCTTCCAGGGGAAGGCATGAAAAGTGGGAAGAAGGTTCTAGTAGACACTGTGATGGTGTAGTATTTAGATGCTGACTTTGTGGGAAGGCAGTGAATACTCAAAGATGGCTAATATTTCAAGTTTGGGCTGATGTTCTCAGTTGGGGGGAGAACAGTGTGTAGTGCATTTGAAAAGAAAATAAGGGAGTCCAGTGGAATATGGAATGTTTGAGTTTGTTTCTTAATCTGAAGACAAGAGGATATTGTGAAATTAATTTTAAAGCTGCTGAGTTTGAGAGAAATTGATTCAAAGTACAGATTCATTCATATTAGAGGTGGTAGGGACCTTGAAGATAATTCATAATTGCAGAGATTGGGAAACTGGAGCCTGGGAATTGGGCCAGCTGTTCTGTGTTCACCCGGATGAGCAGTTATGATAGAGCTGACTCAAGGTTATCAAGTCTGTGCAGAGCAGGGGCTCCAGATGGAGCTTTCTAAAGCAAGGACCGACAAACTACCATGACATCTGTTTTTTTAAATAAAATTTTATGGGAAGGCAGGCATACCACTTGTTTACACGTCATCTTTGGCTGCTTTTGCTCTACAATGGCAGAGTTGAGTAGTTGTGACATAGACCATATGGGCCCATATACCTAAACTATTTACTGTCTGGCCCAACCCCTGGTCTAGCGGGTGAATTGTATAAAATGGGCCTTGGGCAGTGGATATCCAGGGCTGTAGCAAAGGGAGCCCTAAAGGCCTCACCTAAAGCCCATTCAAAACAGACAAAATGTCATCACCCTGACCACATTTGAAATTGGTGTCACTAAATGATTTGAACAAGGCTTAGTGGGAAAAGCCACAGTAGAACTATGAGCTTGGGATGTGTCCATTGCAAGAGTTACTGAAGCAATGAGTGAACAAGGAAGAGAAGGTGTAAGAATTGGACCAAGGGCAGAAATCTGAGAAGTAGTATTTGTTGGCTCTAAGAGGCAGATGAACTAATGAAGGACAGAGACCAAAAAGCAGGGAGTGGAAAATTATTTAGAGTGTAGTTTTGTTTGATATCTGAGCCTTGAAGATTTTGGTTGTCTGTCGCTTAATGAGGAAGAAATCATATCTGGCTTAACACGCTCAATTACATTCTCTTTAATGATAGAGATGTTTGCAGTTGAAAATAGAATGTAGTGCATATTTTGTTTTTGCATTCAGATGATGGAGCAGCTGCATCACCCGACCTTGGGGACCTGTCCCCTGAAGGGCCACAGCCCCCCATGATCCTCTTGCAGCAGTTGCTGGCTGCGGCCACCCAGCCATCCCCTGTGAAGGCCATATTCGATAAACAGGAACTGGAGGTATAGTTGTGTATGCCTGACAGTTTTTACTTCAATGTACTTAATTGTAAATAATTTTTTTAGATGTGTTATTTTCTTACGGATGTATTCTGAATTTTAAATGATGGTACCCAAATAATTCTTATGACTCTTAGGCTTTATCATGTTAGGGCATAGTCAGCAGAACATTATAACACCATTTAATGTGTGAAAAGGTTGAAGTTTAACCTTATTTTGGATTTGTGTAAATTGTTTGACTAGATGCAGCATGGGTTAAATGCTCATATATTTACAGAGGGGTCTTTTTCCAGGAAGTATTTTTATTGGAAAAGACATTAGACTTAAGACTGTTGCACTTGCTTATTTGTTTCCTTCACTCCGAGGCCGTGGGTATGCCCTGTTGCTGCCAGGCTCTAGCCCTCCCATGCAGGGGAGCATGCACATTCTGGGCTGCTGGACATTCCCATGGAACAGGCAATGTGACTGAGGCTAAGAGGGGTGGGAGCCTTTGTGGCTGGCAACATAGAGGAGTAGATGTTACTTAAAATCTTCTTGCTGTATCATACCCCAAAATTCTGGACAGAATATCAAAGATAAAAGCAAAAGCTTCAGTGCTTAGTTTCGCAGGCAGAAATTATCCTAATAGAAATCCTGAGAGACCAAGGCCCTATGGTGAACAAGGATCCAGAGTGAGGGGGCAGCTGTTTTGGGACCCATGGGAGGGCTCCTCTCAGTCCTAGAGGGAGCTGGAAAGATGAGGGGGCACAAGAGGAGACAGCAAGAAATGAGGGCACGGGGTGAGGAGGGAGGAGGTGGCCATGCCTTTTCTGAATTGGTCTGAACTCCAGCTCCCTCTTAGGACTAAAAACCTCTGAGGTGAAGGTTCAGTCTAAAGGGCTAGAATGGTAGGCAATTTCAGAGCGTGTCAGGTGGCGCATAGCCTGTATTCACACTGGGAGGATGCTGCATGTTAAGACATAGAAGGGAATGTGGAGTTGTCATTTAGGAGTGGGAAGAGCTGTCTACCAAAGAGAGTCCTTCTGTCATTTCATCTCCATTGATTCTGACAGCAAGTTGGCCATCATTCTTACCTCCGTTCTTCTGTGGGAAATGTCTTTTTTCCTCTGGCTAGTCTTTTTTTTTTTTTTTTTGAGACAGAGTCTCACTTTGTTGCCCAGGCTAGAGTGAGTGCCGTGGCGTCAGCCTGGCTCACAGCAACCTCAATCTCCGGGGCTCAGCGATCCTATTGCCTCAGCCTCCCGAGTAGCTGGGACTACAGGCATGCGCCACCATGCCCGGCTAATTTTTTGTATATATATTTTTAGTTGGTCAATTAATTTATTTCTATTTTTGGTAGAGACGGGGTCTCGCTCAGGGTGGTTTCGAACTCCTGACCTTGAGCAATCCGCCCGCCTCGGCCTCCCAAAGTGCTAGGATTACAGGCGTGAGCCACCACGCCCGGCCTTCTCTGGCTACTCTTAATATTTTGCGTTTTTCTTTGGTCTTCTGCAGTTTGACTAAGATGTGCCTATATGTGCATAGTTTTTTCTTCCATCCTCTTTGAGATTTGCTTAAGTTACCTGCATCTCTGGAGTGATTAATTTTTTTCCTAACAAATTTGGAAACTTTTTGACTATTATTTTTTTTCACTTGTCCTGCTCTCTTTTTATTCTTTTCTGGGAATACCATTATACATGTTAGATTGTTAGTTTCTTTTCATTATTTTCAAAATCTTTTTTTGTTTTTGTTAATCAGCTTGGTTAATTTGTATTGATATATTTTCAAAGTAAGAGTCTTTTGTATGTGCTTTGTTATGGCATCAGCCAAGGATTTGAGGGTGACTTTTTCTTCTGTGCTTTCCTCTCTGACAGGGTCATTCCCCTCATTTTCTAGTTGCTCTTGAGTCCCGAAGGCCAGCCTCTGACTGCAATCCAGTAACACCGCTGCTGTCTGTGGTTAAGCGTGCATTTTGCCTGCTGGCTTCCCTTGGGTCAAGGATTGCACCCATTCCAGTTTTGATCGCTTCAGCTGTTCTCCAGTGCCATCCAGCAGTTTTTAAAAATATTTTGCCCAGGGTTCATAATTATTATCAGCAGAGGATTAGTCTACTATGTCTTAACTCCTTATTACCAGACCTAGAACTCTTAGCTCAATCTGATTCTGAACTGTAAACTTTTAGAGTGAAACCTGTTACTTCTATCTTACTCAGACTTTACTACAAAGCCCTAGGCTTTTGACACTTCCTAAGCACTGGGAGGCCCTACAGTATCCTTGGTTTCTTCTTAATTCCTTCCTCACATGCTCAGCTTAACAAAATAGCAAGTCTTTAGTGCTGTGAGAGCAGCTGGGGATGAGGAACAGAGAGTTGCAAGTAGATCAGGGGAGAGGTGTGCATGCACTGTAATTAGGGAGTTCCCAGCTGCAGACATCGGCGGTGCAGACGGTCACTGATTCATTGCAGTGTGTCTCCCAACTAATTATTCTTCATTTCCTTTATTTTTTAATACCATGTTTAACCCTCAAAGTGAGTATTTGACCCTTGAATAGCTGAGGGTTAATTTATTGGTACATAAGAATCCAGTATCATATCTGGCCTGTTACACAGGTAAGAGCAGGTGCCTGATTATGGCAGGGGACACCTTTCTCCCTGTTCCATCACACTGCGCTCACTTGGTCAGAGCTCTGGGCTGTTACGAAGTTTTCCTTAATAAACATTGATATTTGGCTAATTTATGAGGCTATTTGTGTACTGAAACAGTCAGGGAAGTTATTTGACCATGATATCTTTCCTTTTCATTAAACTGTCAAACTTGGCTTTGTCGTTTTCTAACATGTTTTATCAACTCACTTAAAAATGTATGCAAATCTAGGCTTTCTGTTCATTTGTACTGTAGTTCATAGTTATCCCTTTGTAGACTGTAAGCTGGCTGAGGGCACTTTAACAAGCCTCTTGGAACCTTCTTCTCGTCTGCTAAGGCTGCTGCCCTCGCCGTATGCCAGTGTTTGGCTGTGGAATCCACTCACCCTTCGAGCCCAGGCTTTGAAGATTGCAGCTCCAGTGAGGCCACCACGCCTGTCACCGTGCAGCACATTCGCCCTGCCAGGGTGAAGAGGCGCAAGCAGTCACCTGTTCCTGCTCTGCCTATTGTGGTGCAGCTCATGGAAATGGGATTTCCCCGAAGGAACATAGAGTTTGCACTGAAATCACTCACTGGTGCTTCTGGGAATGCATCTGGCTTGCCTGGTACTGTGCTTTCCTTGTAGGTGCTTGTTTGTGGGTCCACATTTCAGTGCTGTTGGTCCTCACAGTGGCCTCTGGTGTTGTGCTGTGTGTGCTTGCTCTTAGGAGTGGAAGCCTTGGTTGGGTGGCTGCTGGACCACTCTGACGTGCAGGTCACAGAGCTCTCGGACGGAGACACAGTGTCTGATGAGTATTCAGACGAAGAGGTGGTGGAGGATGTGGATGATGCAGCCTACTCTGTGGTCAGTGCCCTCTGCATGACTTGCCTACATCCTGGCCAGCGTCTATCTTGTGCTCTATCTTGTATGTTAGTTTCCTCTGTCCCTTGAGAGAACTAGCCATAGCTACTGTGGACCACTCCACGAGACTTACCTGCAGTTCATCTGGGCACAGGACACAGCTGTCTGTTTTGATACTGAAGTGATGATTGGGTTTTCTATATCAAAATTACTATTATATTTAAAACAGACCCTTGCTCAAATATCTAATGATGTTGGGTAGCCATTAGAATATACTTTATTAGGTTCGCTGTGGTGGCTCACACCTATAATCCTAGCACTCTGGAAGGCTGAGGCAGGAGGATTGCTTGAGCTCAGGAGTTGGAGACCAGCCTGAGCAAGAGCAAGACCCCACCTCTACAAAAAGCAGAAAAATTAGCCAGGCATGGTGGCACGCACCTATAGTCCTAGCTACTTAGGAGGCTGAGGTAGGAGCATTGCTTGAGCCCAGAAGTTTGAGGTTGCAGTGAGCTATGATGCTGCTGCTGCACTGTAGTCAGGGTGACAGAATAAGACTCTGTCTCAAAAAAGAAGATACTTTATTAAAAGTATCATGTTTCGTGTGACATACTGATTTCTGACCTGAGTAAATTATCTCATAGGATTAATTTGGAAATGCCTTGAGAATCTGTACTTGTAGCTTTTCATTTCTGCCTACTGTGCTACTACTATTAGTCTTTATAAAATGAAGATTTTTATAATATGAAATATATAGTATTTTTAAAGTATAGGCATAGTATTTCATACTTTACTTTTTTTTTCTAGGCAGATTGATCTAATTCTCTCTTTTTAAAAAAAATGTGTTTATCTTTTGTAGTCTACTGGTGCTGTTGTGACGGAGAGCCAGACCTACAAAAAACGAGCTGATTTTTTGAGTAATGATGATTATGCTGTGTATGTGAGAGAAAATATTCAGGTGAGTAATTGTCTTGGGCTGGATCGTTGTCTCCTATATGCCTGGCATCAGTGGACAGAGATCCTGCCCTCAGGAAGCCTGCGTGCTGGTCCAACCTGGGTAGTAAGCTCTTGGCTAAGTGAGAAGGAGCTGAGTGCCATGGAATGGGAGTGCAGACTGGAGTTAGGGGGTCAGGACTGGGGGGCTTTAGGAGGTGTGAGGGTGTGGAGGGCAGCTCAACAGGATGGGCACCCAGCTTAGAGTGACCAGAGGACAGAGAGGCTGAAGATGAGCAGAGGGGGGAAGTCCACAGTGCATGTGGTGCAGAGATGGCCTTTTCTCCATTAACCCCATTTGTGACACTTTTCATATATTTTTTGCTTGTTTTTTAAAATCATTCTCTAATTTTTCTAAGTCTCTAATCCATCTAATTTTTAAAATCTAGTTATGTTTTATGTAGTCTTTTATCCACCTTAATGCCTTTCTTCTTCTCATTCTCCTGTTTTAGTTTATTTCATCTCATTTTACCTATAAATATGTCAGTATGTATCCCCAATAGATAAAGGATTTTATTTTTAACATAATGACATTTCTCTTATGCAGTATTACCTAACAAATATTACCTAACAAAATAAATGATAATACCTTAATATCATCCCATATCCAGCGCTTGCTCAGGTTTTCCTAGTGTTCTTTAAAATGGCTTTTTATGGTTAGTTTTGAATTTTGATACAAATAAGATCATATACCTTATTTGTATTTGGGTAATATGTCTTTGAAGTGTCTTTTAACCTAGAACGGTTTCCCCTTGTCTTAATCAGCTCAGGCTCCTATGACAAAATACCATAGACTGGGTAGCGTGAACAACAGACATTTCTTATGATTCTGGAAGCTGGATCAAGGTCCCAGCTTGGCTGGTTTCTGGTGAGGGCCCCCTCCTGGCTTGTAGATGGTGACCTTCTCTCTGTGTCCTCAAATGGAGGCAGGGCTGGGGTGGGGGGAGCTGAAGCCAGTGAGGGCACCCTGGTTTCTTTTCCTTTAAAGACACTCATTCTGTTGGATCAGGGCCCCACCCTTATGACCTCATTTAACCTTGTAACTTCCATAGAGACCCTATCTCGTAATACAACTACATTGGGGGTTGGGGCTTTATTCAACACATGAATTTGGTGGGGACACAAACACTTGGTCCAAAGCAGCCCTCTTCCCCCCCTGCAACCCCTCCCCCACTGCTGTCACCCTTTTTATACTATTTATTTGTGGCTGAAACTGTGTCCTTCAAATGTCTTATATTCTGGATTTGGTGGTGGCTTCCTTGTGTTGGTTACTGTCTTCCTCTGTCCCTGTTTCTCTAATAAAGTAGGAGAAACTTAGGGCTGGAGGTGAGTGGGCCCAGGCCATATCTTAGGCAGGAAGGCTTCAAAAGTGGGAGCTCCCTCCTGCCTCATGTCGACAGGCAAACAGCATAGGTGGGTTAGGTCTTGTCAGCCTGTTCTTTCCTGATGAAGTTCATTGTTCATTTGCATCTCCAGTGGGCACTGGTGTCATCACCTAGACCAATCATCAGAGACTTTCTGATAGTGATTTTCTAACTTTGTCACCCTTTCTCAGTTTAGCTGGAGTTCTCTTCTGTGAAGAAAACTTCATCAACCCTGGTTGCTCTTTACGACTCAGGGAGGCTTTATCAATTTTCACAATGATGCATCGATGCTCTGCTGCTTACAAAAGTGACCAAGATGTTTTGTTTGCTTATTACCATGGTGATGAATTCATTGGCTTTTAGGATTCAATGTGTTTCAGCTATTATTTCTTTTGATGATGAGGGTGTCCTTTTGAGAGAACCCAGTACTCATTGATGGCTCCTTTGCTTTATGGTACAAGTTGATTCAGCCTCATCTTGTCTATTTCCTGCCTGAGACACAAAGCCTGAAAGTTTTCTAAAGAGCTCTGGTTCCATTTAGCATGAAATGATACTTAGAGCACACTCTGGATATTAGACAAAATTCCTTCTTAAGAATAGAGTGTTAGTTATAGTTCATTTCATCTATGTACACTGGACCGGATGTTCAGTTTCATTTCAATTTTAGGTAGGAATGATGGTTAGATGCTGTCGAACATATGAAGAAGTGTGTGAAGGTGACGTGGGCAAAGTCATCAAGCTGGATAGGGATGGATTACATGACCTCAACGTGCAGTGTGACTGGCAGCAGAAAGGGGGCACCTACTGGGTTAGGTATATTCATGTGGAACTTATAGGTGAGCACATTCTTGATTATGTTCTTTTGCTTTTTCTTAATTAGAGACATAGTTCCCAGAAATGAATGCTAATTATAGTGCATTTGTCTCTAGGCTATCCTCCACCAAGTTCTTCTTCCCACATCAAGATTGGTGATAAAGTACGGGTCAAAGCCTCTGTTACCACACCAAAATACAAATGGGGATCTGTGACTCATCAAAGTGTAGGGGTTGTGAAAGGTAATATTATCCAGGCAACAAAATTCCAAATGTTAACTTTTCATTAACTAATGTGAATTTAGTATTTTTGTTTTCATTCAAGGGCAAGAAAAAACAAGTGTGAAGAAGGCCTTGTGATATATAGTGTCCTTTGGCTTATCAGTGCCTTCTGGCCAAAGGCCACAAAGGATACACCTGCAGTTGAACCAAGTCAGATTTATTATATTGACTCATTGCAATTCGGGAGGACACATACCTTGGGGAATGAGGTGTCTCCATCAGAGGGTGTGAGCAAGGACTAATCAGGCTAGTGTTGGGTATTGGGGGGAGGCTTTGAGGAAGCTGGGGTGGGGTGATGGTTCTAGAACCGAGTATCTTAATAAATCTTACCTAGCACACAGAAAGAATGGAACCAGGCTAAAGTTATGGTCGGTAAGGAAATAGTCATTCACATAACCAGGGTAGGGGAATGTGTGGTTGTGTTTGTGGTTTGGATTAGATTTGACCTTGATCATACATGATTAAGGAGGCATTTTGGTTTTGCTTTAATCCATAATTCACGGAGTAGCCTTGTCTGATGTTGGTGTAAACTTGTTCTGTTAATTCTACATTATAACCTGTGTAACAGGCCAGCTCCTGGTTGTCAGGGACTGCATTTCTTTTTCACGCTATATAAAAATTTGGGCCTGAATTTAGGAAATGGGTAATGTACTAATGATGGGAATTAGGAACTGGTAGGAACTAGAAACACAAAATTCTCAGGTTGTATTGTGATATTATTGAGATTCTAAATCATACCCCTGGTGTACTTTGGAAAGGTATATTATGTCCATCTTAACAATTACATGAGAAATAATTAAATATACACATGATCTTATTTTATCTTTAAACTCTTTTGATACCATAAAGAGATGCTTTTTTTTTTGTTAATGAACTATGTTGTAGAAAGCTCTTTCTGTCAAATTACTTAGAAAACAGCCACGGTTGATGGTGCTTCCCCAGTGGGTAGGGGTATTGTTAGAGTTTCTCAGGTTACATAAGAACAAATGGCCTATTTAGTATTTTACTTTATTTTAACATTTTTCTTTGCTTAAGAAATTCTTAAGAGATTTACAAATAAAAAAAAAAGACAAGTTTTATAAACAAGAATTTGGTTTCTAGGTTAATGTTTTGAATGGCATATTGCTCTTATGAAAGGCCAGGAGTTTTAACATTATTAATGTGGTTTTTATTCCCTAAGATACTGAAGGTACTAAATGGAATTTTGGACTCTATAATTAAAAACAAATGAAATTTCTTTTGGAAAATTTTAAACATATACAAAAGTAAAGAGCATAGTATAGACAGTCTCTAGGTTATGGATGACCCGACTTACAGTGTTCTGTACTTAGGAACAGGCTCCCAAGGCTCTTAAGGATTATTGATAATTAAATAATTCAGATGATAATTTAGGAACTAGTTTCTTCTGCATGTAAGGAAATCCTCATGTTGTAAGCAGTTCGTTGGTGCAGTGTCTTTATGCTAATGGTTAGTCTCATTGTTTATAGGGTCACTTACGCAACTCCTCTTTGACTCAATTATGGAAAACCTGCATATAACAAAGTGAAAAGATTAATTTCCATTCTTCAACCTCTCAATCTCAGGTTTTCATAGAAAAACCTATCTATGGAATACTTACCAAAATCAGATGGGAAAATTAAGGCCTTCATAGTTATGAATCTTTCATCTTAACTTTTTTATTTGATTTTGTGAGTCTGTGTTTACCCTTGTGACCATACTTCCAAAGTGAAAAGTCCATATGAGACTGCAGCGAAGAGAAAGCTTGTTACAGTGGAAACAAAAATAGAAATAATTAAGCATTTGGAGAAAAGCCAGATGCCATCATTCATTGGGAAAGCATTAGGGTCCAGTCGCTTGACTAGCAGAACAATTATAAAAGATAAAGTGAGAATAATGGAACATGTGAAAGGCAGTGCTCCAATGAAAGCATCAGTTATTACTAAGCAGCATAGAATAATTATTGAAATGTAAAAGTTATTGATTTGGTTAGAAGATCAAAATAAACGTAACATTCCTATTAGCCTAGTGTTGCTACATTAGGTGAGTGTTAACCTTTAATATTCTTTTTTGAAATTTCTATCTAAACTTCTTGTATGAGTTTGATTTTATGTTCTGTTTGAATTAATAGAGCACAATAGTTTGTGTAACTTATTATAGGGGTATTATTATTATCATTACAGTATTACACTTTATTATTATTACCACATATGAGCCATAATAGTATTGTTGTTATTATTGTCACATGTGCTATTTATCAGATCGGAGTTACATACAAATCTGACCTAAAGACATTCTTAGGAACATATGTTGTCCATAACCTGGGGACTGCCGGTCTAATAAACTTTTGTGTGCCCATTACCTAGCTTCAACAGTTGTCACCTCATGGCCAGAATTTTTTTATCCATAATCTCCTCCTTTGGTTATTTTAAAACTAGTCCTTGACATTGTGTTATTTCATTTATAAATATCTTAGTACATATTCTAAAAGATAAGTACCCTTTGTAAAACATAAATAACTACAGTATGATATCGCATGGCTAGGTACCATTTTAATTTTAGGTTTTTATTGGTGATAAAGAAGATGTTTCAGGTGATTTCTGTTCTGTCCTAGCTTTCAGTGCCAATGGAAAAGATATCATTGTCGACTTTCCTCAGCAGTCTCACTGGACTGGGTTGTTATCAGAAATGGAGTTGGTTCCTAGTATTCATCCTGGGGTTACGTGAGTTTCTTATTTTATGATTGCTAGATTTGTTTGGGGAGGAATGGTTGGTTTTTTTTTTTTTTTTTTCGAGTCAGAGTATCACTCTGTTGCCTGGGCTAGAGTGCCGTGGCATCAGCCTAGCTCACAGCAACCTCAAACTCCTGGGCTCAAGCAATCCTCTTGCCTCAGCCTCCCAAGTAGCTGGGACTACAGGCATGCACCACCATGTCTGGCTAATTTTTTCTATATATTTTTAGTTGGCTAATGAATTTCTTTCTATTTTTAGTAGAGATGGGGTCTCGCTCTTGCTCAGGCTGGTTTCGAACTCCTGACCTTGAGTGATCCTCCTGCCTTGGCTTCCCAGAGTGCTAGGATTACAGGTGTGAGCCACCGCACCCAACCAGGAGGAATGTTTTTTTTTTTAATTAAGTTTAATAACTGATAAGTTGTTTTTTTTTTATCTATTCTATGGCTATTTTAAAAATAGGTGTGATGGCTGTCAAATGTTTCCTATCAATGGATCCAGATTCAAATGCAGAAACTGTGATGATTTTGATTTTTGTGAAACATGTTTCAAGACCAAAAAACACAACACCAGGCATACATTTGGCAGAATAAATGAACCAGGTATGACAGAATGATTGTGTTCTTTCTTCCACCAAATATTATTAATGAGATAATTATTGTGGACACAAATGTATTGGAATTTGTTCTTTTAAGGTTCACGTGTATATAGTGAGCTCTGCAGAGTAAGTACAGTGACACTATCTGGCCATCTGTTTTTTAAGAAAGGGGGAGGAATTAGAATAGATAGGTTTGCTTGTATTTCTATAAAGAAACATTAAAAGAATCTCAAGAAACTAATTAGTGTTTAGTTGCATGGAGTATGGAATTGGTTAGATGGAGAATGAGTCTTTTTATTTGTATGCCTTTTTTTTTTTTTTTAGACAGAGTCTCACTTTGTTGCCAGGCTAGAGTGAGTGCCGTGGCATCAGCTCACAGCAACCTCAAACTCCTGGGCTCATGTGATCCTCCTGCCTCAGCCTCCCTAGTAGCTGGGACTACAGGCATGCACCACCATGCCTGGCTAATTTTTTCTATGTATATTAGTTGGCCAATTAATTTCTTTTTTATTTATAGTAGAGACGAGGTCTTGCTCTTGCTCAGGCTGGTTTCCAACTCCTGACCTTGAGCAATCCGCCCGCCTCGGCCTCCCAGAGTGCTAGGATTATAGGCGTGAGCCACCACGCCTGGCCTGTATGCCTTTTTTATATTTTCTATTGTGGCGAAATATATATAACTTAAAATTAGCCATTTTAATCAGTTTCTGAGTTTACAACTTTGAGGTATTAAGTACATTAAGTTCAGTGCCACACAACCATCACCACTATCTATTTCCAAAACTTGTCTGCTACTCCAAGCAGAAACTCTGTACCCATTAAACAATTTGACTTCCCCAATTCCCCCTTTCCCAAAACTTGTCTGCTACTCCAAGCAGAAACTCTGTACCCATTAAACAATTTGACTTCCCCAATTCCCCCTTTCCCATTCCTGGTAACCTTGAATCTACCTTTGGTCTCCATGAATTTGACTACTTCAGGTACCTCATCTAAATGGAACCATATAATATTTATCCTTTTGTGTCTAGTTTATTTCACTTAGCATAATGTCTTCAAGGTTCATCCACATATGTCAGAACTTCATTCATTTTGATGGCTGAATAATATGCCACAGAATGTGTATACCATGTTTTATTTATCCATGTATCTATTAATGGACATTTGGATTATTTCCACCTTTTCGTTATCATGAGTAGTGTTGCTGTGAACATTGGTATCTGTTTGAGTCCCGGTTTTCAAAACTGTTGGGTGTGTACCTAGGAGTGGAATTGCAGGGTCATATGGTAGATCTTTGTTTAATTTTTTGAGTAACTGCCAAAATGTTTTCAACAGTGGCTGTACCATCTTACATTCCCAACAGCAGTGTATGAGTGTTCCAATTTTTCTACATCCTCATCAGCACTTGTATTTTCTGTTTTTTATAATATGGCCATCCTCGTAGGTGAGAAGTGGTATCTTGTCATGATTTTGATTTGAATTTCCCTAATGTATATGATGTTGAGTGTCTTTACAAAGGGTCCTTTCTATCCCTTCTTTGAGGAAAATGTCTTTTAAATCCTTCGCCCATTTAAAAATTTTTGATGTTGAGTTGTATGAGTTATTTATATATTTTAGATATCAAAACCTTATTAGGTAAGATTTGCAAATATTTTATTCCATTCTATAAGTTGTTTCGTTCTCTTGATAGGGTCCTGTGATGCATGAAAAGTTTTGATTTTAATAAAGTCCAATTTATGTACTTTTTTCTTTTGTTGCCTATGCCTTTGGCTATTTCTTTGAGTTTATTGTCAATTTAAGTAACCATTGCCAAACCCAAAGTCATGAATATTAGTCTGTATGTTTCTTTCTAAGAATTTTATAGTTTTAGCTCTTAAATTTAGCTCCATATTCCACTTTGAGTAACTTTTAAAAATATGGTATAACCTAAGGGTCCAACTTCACTCTTTTACACGTGCATGTCCAGTTTTCCCGGCACCATTTGTTGAAAAGACTGTCCTTTCTTTATTGAAGAAAGGTCTTAGCTCCCTTGTTGAAAATTAATTGACCATAGAAATAAGGATTTATTTCTGAGCTCTCAGGTCTGTTCATCTCCAACCTTCTTTAGATTCTGGTTTTGTAATTCATTACTATCTCATTAATTCTGATACTTGCAAGAGGATTTATTCATTTTTGAATGTTTTGTTTGGCTCTTCTTGTCTTCAGTGGGGAAGGCTAGTTGAATTTCTAGATTTGCCATTAATGCAAGTGGAAATAAGTTTACAAATTTGTTTTTTGCTTTGTATTTATAACAGCTTTTTAAAAAAATTATTACTGTTTTTTTTGAGACAGAGTCTTGCTCTATTGCCTGGGCTAGAGTGTAGTTGCGTCACCATAGCTCACTGCAACCTTCAACTCCTGGGCTCAAGCAATCTTCCTGCCTCCGTCTGCCAAGTAGCTGGGACTATAGGCAGGCACCACCATGCCGAGCTAATTTTTCTATTTTTTGTAGAGACAGGGATCTTACTTTTCTCAGGCTGGTCTAGACCTCCTGACCTCAAGCGAGCCTCCAGCCTCAGCCTCCCAAAGTGTTAGGTTTACAGGTGTGAGCCACCACACCTGCCCTGTATTTATTAAAGCATTTTTTTTTTTTTTTAGACAGAGTCTCACTTTGTTGTCCAGGCTAGAGTGAGTGCCGTGGCGTCAGCCTAGCTCACAGCAACCTCAAACTCCTGGGCTCGCGTGATCCTTCTGCCTCAGCCTCCCGAGTAGCTGGGACTACAGGCATGCGCCACCATGCCCGGCTAATTTTTTTTTATATATATATCAGTTGGCCAATTAATTTCTTTCTATTTATAGTAGAGACGGGGTCTCGCTCTTGCTCAGGCTGGTTTTGAACTCCTGACCTTGAGCAATCCGCCCGCCTCGCCTCCCAAGAGCTAGGATTACAGGCGTGAGCCACAGCGCCCGGCCATATTAAAGCATTTTTAATAAGAATAGTTTCTGTGAGCATTGTTAGTGAACTTTTCCCACAACTTGTTTGTATCCTTTTTGTTTGGAAATATATTAATCTGCTATTACCTGAGAGATTTTAGTGAACCATGTCATAGTATTATATAGACTTCATCTCATAAATTGGTGTAAAATATCTTGACTAGATTTTTAAAGCCATTTTTGGCATTTATTAGCTCCTTTTACTTTGAAAACTTTTTCTTGAAGTAGCTCATAAGTGTGTAATATTCTTGATTTCCTTATCATGAAGCTTCTGCCCCAGCTCAGCAAGTATTAACTCTCTTTTTGACCACATGAAACAGGACAGTCAGCAGTATTTTGTGGCCGTTCTGGAAAACAGCTGAAGCGTTGTCACAGCAGTCAGCCTGGAATGTTGCTGGACAGCTGGTCCCGCATGGTGAAGAGCCTGAACGTGTCATCTTCGGTGAACCAGGCATCTCGTCTGATTGATGGCAGCGAGCCCTGCTGGCAGTCATCTGGATCGCAAGGGAAGGTAACGTGCAATAGGGATACATCAGGAAGCACTTTTATTCACATAATTTTGCATTTTAGATTTTCAAAATGAACTTTGAAAAACTTGCAAAGTTTTATCGATGACACCTGTTAGTACTCAGTTTATATTTTAGTTCATAAGTTATTTCAAAGTTACAGAGTTATATGCCATCAAGGTTTTTTTGTTGTTGTTGTTTGTTTTTATTTTTTTATTACGATAAGGTCTTGCTCTGTCGCCCAGGCTGGAGTGCAGTGGTCTCATCATACCCCACTGCAAGCCCAGCTCCTGGGATCAAGTGATCCTCCTGCCTCAGCCTCCCAGAGTGCTAGGATTACAGGTGTGAGCCATCTTGCCTGCCTTGGTTTTTATTGTCAGAGATTTTAAACAATATGAGTAACAGATTTTATCTAACTGACCAATTGATAGAGGATGTAGTGGTTTTTATTTGTTTGTTTGGTTTTTTTCCTGTCCTGCATAAAATGTATGAATTCAGATTTTGCTTCTATTGAGCTTTGGCGTGCTATTGTGATCTCACTGATGGGTGGGTGTTCCTCATGTGGGCACACAGGTCAGACTGGGAGACAGGGCTTTTCTCCATCTCAACTCTAGTGTTTCCCCACCTACTCCTTGATGGGTATAAAGGGACCAGTCTTGGTTAGGCATCTATAAATACATTGTTTCTGGGGCTTAGAGTGAGACCGTCCTCTAATGAGCAAATATAGTGGGGTAGAATATTCTTATTTCTGTCAGGGTTAGAGAAAATTCTTTCTCTTTCATGCCACATTTTATATTTAAAAAATCTCATGTAGATTCAAGCTTCAGTGATACTATTGTAGAAGCTAAAATATAGGTAAATTTTGCTAACTGAAAATGTGTGTTTTTTTTTTTAAGCATTGGATTCGTTTGGAGATTTTCCCAGATGTTCTTGTTCATAGATTAAAAATGATAGTAGATCCTGCAGACAGCAGCTACATGCCTTCCCTGGTTGTAGTGTCAGGTAATTGAATTAGTTTATTCAGAAAGAAGTATCTTTTATCATATAATAAAAACTCCTTTGTTTGATTCCTTTATCCTTTTTTTTCCTAGGTGGAAATTCCCTAAATAATCTAATTGAACTAAAGACAATCAATATTAACCCTACTGACACCACAGTGCCCCTTTTAAATGACTGCACAGAGGTAAGTAAGTAGCTATGGTAGTGTACTTTGATATGATTTGCAAATGACAAGAGAAGTGACTTGGCTATTTCTGTACAAGAATTGAGCCCAGTTTTTCCCCCTTAATCAAAATTGATTGTATTTTTAAATTTTAAAACAAACATTTTATACAACTTGAATTTGTTGCTTATCAGATCAGCTTGAAAAGGAAACAAAATAAATTTTATTCTCACTCTCTTAGTAGCAAAGATATACATGGTAAGTGTTCCTAGCAAAAATCATTGTCAACCCTTTCAGGTTGCTGTTTGCATCCGCATGTTTTTGTTTTCATTAAATATCTTTTAGTTTCTGGTGGTTTTTCTGATTATATGTGTGATACTGAAATTGCTTTTTTGTTGTCACACATTGGCATCAAGGGTTAAACTTGTCATGAAGTGGCATTTTTTTGGTAATAAGGTAACTTTCAAAATGAATCCAAATATATTGTATCTCTTGAAAATTCTGAGAGAGTCAAGGAGGGTTCTTTTAACAGTACTGACACACTAGAGATCAGTGAGACTGTCTTTCTCAAATCTTTCAGTAAATCTTTGTACAGGATGTCAGCACTATTTTAATACATTAAACATATTTAAAATAAGGCTACCTATCCTTTTGTCTTGTGAGGACTAGTTTAATTGGTACAATGATGGTAAATAAACATATCAAGTATTTGATTTTTAATTCATCTAAAGTTTAGTACAGATGAGGTGTTTTTAAATTACTAAATGCAGTTTACCATTCTTTTTTTAAAGTTTTATTTTATTTTTAATTGAGAAATAATAAACTATATGTTTTGGGGGTAAAATATGATGTTTTGTTACATGTATACTTTGTAGAATGATCAAATTGGGCTAAAAACATATCTGTCACCTCCATATTTATCATTTCTTTTTGGTGAGAACATTTAAAATTCTTTCTTTTAACCATTTTGAAATATACAGTACATTATTATTCACTATAGTCACCATTTATTCTGGCATGCCATTGAACTATTTTATGATATACTGATTAATAATACCAATGGTGATAATAAATAAATAAGCAAATTATAAAAAAGAAAGATAATATTGAGGTTTTCTGAGAAAAGACAATAATGAATTTTAGTGCATTTTACTGTTAACCTATTGCTGGGTAACTGAATATAGCCTGTAGCATGTGTTATAGCACAGAGAATGTTTGTATTTCAATCAAATCAATAAGCACATAATTAAATCAACAACTAAGATTATAAATTATAAAAGATATCTTTACTTTAATCTGAGAAATTTTCAATTCAAAACAATTTATTCTGTAATATTCAATAAGTACAAAATATCATATGTTGTCTATGAGAAATATGAAGCATTGTGAGCAAATGGAATACTCGTGACCTAACCAACATCCCCCCAACCAACTGAAGAACTGGAGTATACCATTCTTGTGGAGCTACAGGGATCTTTTAGCATGGCCTTTCCTATGCAATGATTTGTTATGGAAATTCTCTAACATATAACCAAAAATAGAAAGTATATTGAAACCCCATGAACGTGTCATCCAGCTTCAACATTTCTCAACTTTTTGCATTTTCATTCCCTCTCTCCCGCCTCATTTCCCTCCTCAGCAAGTCCTAGATGTGATCTTATCTCAATAGCACTTACATCATTTGTCATTTCTAATAGGACTTTAAAAATTATATAACCTCAATACCATTATCACATCTAATAATTATTCTTTAGTATCATATATCCAGTGTTCAAATTTTCCCAGCTATCCCATAAATGTTCTTTTGCAGTTGGTTTACATGAATCATGATTCAAATCATGTGTACACTTTGCACTTCATTTATCTTAATTCTCTTGGTTTTTCTTTGCTAAGAAAACTGGGTAATGTTTTCCTGTAGCATTCTTCATATTCTCAACTTGGCATTTACATCACCATGATAGTGTTCAATTTGTATTTCTTATGAAATAGGTAGATCTTGAGGTTAGATCAGGTCCAGTTTAAACAATAAAAAGTAATCATTAGTGTTGTGTGCTTCCTGCTCATCAGTTTTTGTTCACATGAAATACAGGGATAGAAGAAGATTGTCAATGCCATGACAAATACAGTCTGCTACATAACAGTGGGGGGCATTCGCAGGACAAATAGACTGATTTACAACAAATGAATGGAAAAGGGGTAACAGTTGTATCTTGTTTGTATCCTGATTTGAATAAGCCAACAATAAAATTACATTTGTGACATTATTAGAAGAGGAGATCAGAATATGATCACTGTATAATATTAGATGACGTAGGAATTATTGTTTGAGCTATGATAATAATATGTTGATATGTTTTCAAAAGCTCCTTAATTCAGTGATACATGCTAAAGTTTTGAAACAACGTAATGCCTGGAATTTTCTTATGATAATCTATGTATGAACAAGATTGATCGTATGCTGATAATTGTTGAATTGGGTGATCGGGTCATGAAATTCTTTGTACTACTCTTCATTAATTTATGTATATGCAAATACTTAATATGTTTTAAAAATTATGAAGCTGTGACTACCTGACATTTAACCTCAGCCTCAAGGTAGACACATTTGAAGGCAAACTTTTACTCAGATGTAGTTGCATTAACTTTGACTAACTCAGTTGGTATTTCCAGAACTTCAGTCAAGAAGCTCTAACTTTGCGCACATTTCCATGTCTCAAATGTCCTAAATGTTAAAGTATTTAATGTGTTCGATTCTAAAAAGCCTATAGCTTGTTGTTTTTGCATTTAGTATCACAGGTATATTGAAATTGCCATAAAGCAGTGCAGAAGCTCAGGGATCGATTGTAAAATCCACGGTCTCATCCTGCTGGGACGGATCCGTGCGGAGGAGGAGGATTTGGCTGCAGTCCCTTTCCTAGCTTCAGACAATGAGGAAGAAGAAGATGATAAAGGCAACAGTGGAAGGTAAGAGCTGTTTGTTATTGGTACTTAGTTATCTTCTGCCTTACTTCAAAATTCTCACTTTCAGAAGTAAATATTTAATTAGAGTATATTTCATAATGATAGTAGTTTTATGTCCATAAAAATAGTTGGTAAATTTTAGTTGAGTGTTTCTCAACTAAAGTGCCCAGCAGACTGAGTTCTTGAGCTTGCTTTTCTTTTTCTTTTTTAAATGTTTTATGCTGAATAACCTCTATTTTTTGTCTTTGTTTTACCTTTGGCTAGCCTTATCAGGAAGAAGGCTGCAGGGCTGGAATCAGCAGCTACGATAAGAACCAAAGTGTTTGTGTGGGGACTGAATGACAAGGACCAGCTGGGCGGGCTGAAAGGCTCTAAGGTATGGCCTGCTGCCGCAGGACAGCTCACTGGTGCCTCTGCTGAAGACAGGCTCTGCACAGCCACAACTTTTTTGAAGTTTTTATAATCGTTTTACCTTCTATATATTGTTTTTTAAATTAACTTGTTGAAGTAATTCTTTACACGAACCAATAGACATTATCATTAGTTTCTGAGGACAGCCTCTGTCCTTAGAAAATAGTACACTTTAGATAGAGTTGTATTATTGCTGTCTTATAAACTAGAAAGTAATCTTTTGAAAAGATTTGACAAATGCATAGATGAAAATTATAGACTATAAATATACTTATCTTGCCTTTAATACAAGAAATATGTTTGCTCACCATGAACAAAGCAATGTGTAAAAATGCCATAGTGATACAGAGATGGGAAAGATGTGATTTCTGCCCGCTAGGACTTGGTGCCTGAGGTACTTCGTGTGAAACAGCTTCTGTAGAGAGAGAATGCTTTGTGAGCACAGAGAAGCGAGCATAACACAAACATACATGCGCACACACACACACACACACACACGCGCATACACACTTTTATTCTTGAGGGGCTTGTGGGTGGACACCTTCATGTTCTCATTCTCCATGTTAATATGTCTTGAAACTGTGTGCAGAAAGCTGTGTCTGTCACAGCTCACAGTGCACTTAATCCTGTCAGGACTTGGATGACAGGTTAATTTGTATTTTGAGTTGCTTAGAAGAAAAAGACCAGTCTTTTTTTTTTTAGATTAAGCATTGTGGCTGATTTTTTTTTTTTTTCAGAGTCTTTAAAGAGTAGATATAGCAGATGATACATTTGAACTAGAGTTCAGTGTCCCTTATATTACAGAGTATCTCTTATATGAAGAGCTACAGAAAAATTCCTCCAAAGTGTAGTGCCCAGAGACAGTTTCTCTCTTCAGATGAGCACTTCTGCTTTCTTTTAGTATTCTGTGCGGTATCACCCCTCTTAAGTTCCCTTGTTGCCTGCATTGCTAAAACAGTAAGAAATAAAGGTAGAATTCATATTCAAACTCTCTCCTTTTTAGGTGCAGCTAATTCTGATCTTTATTTGAGTGGTCTTGAATTACATTTGTGTTTTGAGGCATTTGAGCTCTATTTGGAAGTGGGAAATGGGCAGTAAACTGGGATAGTACAGGACTGTCCGGGGTCCATGAAGTGTGGGCCCTTGCTAGGAGCCCATGACCTTGGTTACTATTGAACATGCAGTTTTCATATGAAGGACAATCAGTGCTCCACTCTTGTGATGAAAATGCTTTCTTCCACTGCAGTAGTGGTGGCCTGATAATTTCTGACAGATGGAATCATAAAGGTTTCTTAGACAAAGGGCCCTAAGAATTTGAAATTAAATTATACCCATCTACAACATAAAGTTTAAGCACATAATTCTTAGAGATGTCAGAGTCAAAATCAAAGAGAATGAGCATGGCATGACTTGAAATAAAATATAGTTTACCTGATGTTTGCTTTTATCTTTACACTATGCATATAGTTGTCCCTTGTATTGATGGGGGATTTGTTCCAGGACCTTCTGTGGATACCAGAGTCCACAGATGTTCAAGTCCCTGATACAAAATGGTGTAGTATTTGCATATAACCTAAGCACATTTTCCCAAATACTTTATAATAATAATATCTCTACATTACTTACAATACTGAATACAATAAATGCTATGTAAATAGTTGGTATGCTGTATTGTTTAGGGAATAATGGCAAGGAAAAAAGTTTGTACTTGTTTAGTATAGATGCAGATTTTTTTATTGTTGTTATTAAAACAAAGTCTTGCTCTGTTGCTCAGGCTGGTCTCGAACCCCTGGCCTCAAGCAATCCTCCTGCCTTGTCCTCCCAAAGTGCTAGGATTACAGGTTTGAGCCACCTCGCCTAGCTGAGATGCAATTTTTTTTAAAAAAATATTTTCCTTCCACAGTTGGTTGAATCCACAGAACCCATGTTATGGATAGCCGACTGTGTTTTATTTTTGACCTTCTTTTATGGAAATGTTCAAACATACCCAAGTAAAATGAATAGGATCATGAGCCCTCATGTCCCTGGTACCAGCTTCAAAAGTTACCAACAGCTGCCTAGGTTTTTTTTCCTCTTTATTTTCTCTACCCCAATCCTGGTTTATTATAAAGTAAATCTCAGTATATCATTTCATCTTTAAAATACTTTAATATGTATCTCTAAGAGATAAGAACTCCTTTGGTTAATATAATCATACAGATAAACAGTACAGTTGTGTGTCGCTTAAGGACAGGGATAAGTTGTGAGAAATGTGTCAATAGGCAATATGTTATGGGAACATCATAGAGTTTGCTCATATAAACCTAGATGGTACAGCTTACTACACCTAAGCTATATGATACAGCCTATTGCTCCTAAGCTGCAAACCTGTACAGCATGTTACTATACTGAATACTATAGGCCACTGTAACACAATGGTAACTATGTATCTAAGCATATCTAAACATAGAAAAGGTACATTGAAAGTACAGTATAAAAGATAAAAAATGGTACATCTCTATAGGGTGTTTACCAGGAATGGAGCTTGTAGGACTGGAAGTTACTCTGGGTGAGTCAATGAGTGAATGGTGAGTGAAGGCCTAGGATATTACTGTGTGCTTAAGATACACTAAATCTATAAAAAATATTTTTCTTTCTTCAATAATAAATTAAGCTTAGCTTATTGTAAATTTTTTACTTTATAAACCTTTTACTTTTTAAAAATTTTTTTGACTTTTATAATAACATTTAGCTTAAAACAAAAACATTGTACAGCTCTATAAAAATATTTTTCTTTATATCCTTACTATAATTTTTTTTTTATTTTGTAAATTTTTTGTTAAAAATGAAGACACAAATGCACACATTAGCCTAGGCCTACACAGGGTCATGATCATTAATATCACTGTCTCCCACGTCCACATCTTATCCCATTGGAAGATCCTCAGGGGCAATAACATACATTAAGCTGTCATCTCCTATGATAACCATGCCTTCTTCTGGAATACCTCCTGAAGGACTTGCCTGAGACTGTTTTACAGTTAGCTTTTTAAAAATATAAGTATAAGGCATACACTTTCAAAGAATGATTAAAAGTATAATATAGAAAATACATAACTCTGTAATACAGGCATTTATTATCAAGTTTTATATATCATACATAACTGTGTGCTAGACTTTTATATGACTAGCAGCCCAGTAGGTTTGTTTGTACCAGCATCATCACAAACACTTGAGGAATGGGTTGCACCATGACATTGTGATGGCTAGGACGTGACTAGGTGATAGGAATTTCATAGCTCTATTGTAATTATAAGGGACTACATCATATATGTAGTTCATCAATGACCAAAACGTCATTATGCAGTACATGACTGTAATTTCTTGTATAATCTAATAAGGTTATTTATAAGTTTAAGAGTGCAAATGTAATTTTTTTTTCTTTTTCAATAAATTCTATTCCAGATAAAGGTTCCTTCATTCTCTGAGACTCTGTCTGCTTTGAATGTGGTACAGGTGGCTGGTGGTTCTAAAAGTTTGTTTGCAGGTATGATTAATATTTTAAAAATTTTAAATTATACTAAAACAACAACAAAAAAACAGTTTTTATGTTGTGAAAAGTCAGTTTTCTCCTGGCTCTCCTCCTTTTCAGTGACTGTGGAAGGGAAGGTATACGCCTGTGGAGAAGCCACAAACGGCCGGTTGGGGCTGGGCCTCTCCAGCGGGACAGTGCCCATCCCACGGCAGATCACAGCACTCAGCAGCTACGTGGTCAAGAAGGTGGCTGTCCACTCAGGTACACGTCCAGTGTCAGCAGTCATGTGCAAAGAAATATGTCACTCCTACTCTGCAAATAACTAGGATCCTTAAATAATTTTCCCTAAGATGTTCTTGTATTCTTTTTAAAGTTTTTCCTTAATTAATAGGAATAAAAATTGGATAATATAAATCTCTGAGTAGTCTAGAATTGAATTATCGCTACTAAGTGAGGTTTTTTGGAGAATAGCAATTGGCATTTCAGGCGTATGGGTGTACCCCTCAAAGGATGGGGTTTTAGTCTTGGAGCCATGGTTACAGGTCCATAGTATCTGTGAAATCATGAAGTTCTATGCTTACATAGGTGTTGTTTTTCTGGGGAAGAGTCTGTACTTTTCATTAGATTTTGAAAAGTGTCTGTGAACCCCAGTAATAAGAAAGAACCTTTAAAAGAAAACACACTCCTTCAATTCAGGAAACCTTAATTGAGTGTTATTTTCAAGAGGTGTGCTAAGCCTCTAGGAATGGAACTGAATTACATACAAAGCTCAATTTATGCCTGCACTGAATAGTGTTAGATGTAACCCTGCATGAAAGGAAATCCGAATGATAGTGGGTTAAGCCAGATAGAATTTTACTTTTCTGCTATGTAAAAATCCAGGGTAGAGTGGTGGTCAGGGTCTGGCAGCTCTGTGTCTATGAGGAGTGCTAGCTTTTCCTGTGTACCTCGTGGGAAGCTGGCCCTACAGTTCTAGCCCTCAGGCCTCAGGCCCAGGCCTGGAGGGCGAGGTAAACCTCAGACGCATGCCCTGTAAGTCCACACATCCTCTCTCCAGAGCCTTCTGAAGTCCTTGTCACTTCTCTCACATCTAGGTTGCCATCTCCTATGTACAGGGGAGGCTGGGAAGTGTGTTTTTTAGCCGAGCACATTGTTGTCTCTGATAACATAGGAGCTCTGTTGGAAAGGAGAGGGGAGAGTGAATGGTGAGGAGACTAGGAGCCCAGTCCGCCACACTATTCTCAGAGACCAGGAGCCGGCAGGGACTCGGGTATATGAGAGGACATGCCTTTAATCCTGAGGTGGGCTGTATGGACTGGGAGAATATTCCATAGTGGGAAGGAGCATGAGCTGGTGTGTTTTGGGAAGAGTTAAACATAGGCATTAATTGCAAATGATTAAATAATTCCATTGTTGGAGTGCATTTCTCAAAATCTTAAATTGCATTATATTTACAAGTTGCCTAATCACAAATTATTTTTACTTTTTCCATTAATAATTAGCATTATTTTGCCTCTTCTTTGCAAATTCTTTCTAGAGTTAAATTTTGTAGTTTGATGAAAATTCACTTATTTGGCATAATATGTCACTAGAAAGCTTTCATAATAACTAAAATGTTGATCCCACTTACTCATTTATCTAACACATACTCATTGAGTGTATGGTACAGGTCAGGCAGAATAAGTAGTTATGCTGTGGAATTTTTGTATACCGCCTTTGGCAGCCCAAGTCTGTGTGAATGTTGCAGGTGGCCGGCACGCTACAGCTTTAACTGTCGATGGGAAAGTGTTTTCATGGGGTGAAGGTGATGATGGAAAACTTGGACACTTCAGCAGAATGTAAGGATATTTTCTTCAGTCTTATTTGCTAATAAGAAACTATTACTGATAACAATAGCAAATGCCTTTTGATAGTTATTTTGCAGAAAATTAAAATAGGATAGATTATTTATGGAAATAGATTTAAAAAATTTTTTTTAAAAATATGGATTATGTGATTTGGCCTCATATATTCTCCTTTAAGGTTTGATTGTGAAATTGATCTGTAGATCTTTATGTTAACTACATGTGGATCAGGGTAGATGCCTTTGTTTTAACCTCATCTTTAAAAATGGATGGATTGATTATAGGGAGTTGCATTCATCTTGTTTTAGGAACTGTGACAAGCCAAGGCTGATAGAGGCCCTGAAAACCAAGCGTATCCGGGATATCGCCTGTGGGAGCTCACATAGCGCGGCTCTCACGTCCAGTGGTGAACTGTATACCTGGGGCCTCGGAGAGTACGGCCGGTTGGGACATGGGGATAACACGACACAGCTGAAGCCCAAAATGGTGATTATACACATTTTTGTTGCTTGCAGAAAGCTTACCATCTGATGATTTCAAGAGAAGATAAGCTTTGAATCTAGGAAAGTTCATAAAAGACATATGCATTATTGGCTTTCAGTCTGTGGAAAAAATTTCCTTTGCTTTCTCAGTGCCTGTGCTTGATTTTGTTTTTAAATTTGTAATTGAGTAGGTGAAAGTCCTTCTTGGTCATAGAGTAATCCAGGTTGCGTGTGGAAGTAGAGATGCACAGACCCTGGCTCTGACTGATGAAGGTGAGCCCTGTCAGGATTGTAAATCCCCGGGTGGGTGGGAATATTATGAAACGCCAGCCTGACATATGTTTTTTTTAAACCTAGGTTTGGTATTTTCCTGGGGTGATGGTGACTTTGGAAAATTGGGCCGGGGAGGAAGTGAAGGCTGTAATGTTCCCCAGAACATTGAGAGACTAAATGGACAGGGAGTATGCCAGATTGAGTGTGGAGCTCAGTTCTCCCTGGCTCTCACCAAGTCGGGAGTGGTGTGGACATGGTACGTCAACTTCCTCAGTGTCTCTGTGAATCTGTGCTTGTACAGGAGCGTGCAGGGAGCCTTGGCCTCACCATCTGCTTATAATGTGATTATAAACTGTCATATTCTTACTCCTAGGCATCTTTGTCCTTTTATTTATGTTCAGTTGGGATTAGTGATACTATTACAAGAAGAAATTTCTCATTATAACTGGGTTATTTTAGAATACTAGAGAAATGTTAGCCCACCTGCCTTACCTGTTTGGGTGAGGTTTTTGTAAAGGACTTTTTCCGCTTTCTTACTATTCCAGAAGCCTAAGGATAAAATGAGAGCAAAACACATTTCTGAATCCTTTGATCCTGGAAAAATTCATATATATTTCTTGTAAAAGCTTATTTTATTAGAGTGCAAAGGAGTGAGTGCTCAGACTGACCTTGGACAGCATGTCAGGGCTTTGTGCCAGTATCATGACCATAGGCAGCTTGGGAAAGACATACACCAGATGGGGCTTTGGAGGGGTGTTTGTGGTTGTGTGTCTTGTTTTCAGTCTTTTTATATGAAAACCTACAACAATAACTTAAGTATTATAAAACACATATTACAGTATTAAGGATTTTGCTAGCAGAATTGATGAATTAATTTGAATTAATGGTGAACCATTTTAGATGTAAGTTCAAGGACCTTGGATGCTGTGTATGATACTATCATTGAGCTGGCTCTAAAAGATGTGAGACAGTGAGTGTTTTCTTGTGTAGCATTGCCAGACCATAACCATAATGAGTAATACTTGCTCTGTTGATGTCCTCTCAGGGGGAAGGGCGATTACTTCAGGCTGGGCCATGGCTCTGATGTGCACGTGCGGAAGCCACAGGTGGTGGAAGGACTGAGAGGGAAGAAGATCGTGCACGTGGCTGTAGGGGCCCTGCACTGCCTGGCGGTCACGGACTCAGGGCAGGTAAGGCTGCAGGTGGCCTGGGAGTGGCACCATCCTGAAGTGGTGATCACCACATAGCCCTTGTCTTTCTAAAATTTTGACTCTTAATGAAATCAATCTTACTACTTGAAGAACCATGAAGGCTGGGCGGTGTTTGTTTTGTTCACTGGTGTATCTGCCCTTGACAGCACAGGTTGGGGGTAGGGCCCTTAGAGAAGAGTTGTGCCCACTCTAAAGTCCACATGGAAATGTGAAAAGATTTTTATTGTTGCAGGCACTCCTACTGCTGAGATACTAGCAAGATTTTACTTTAGAGATTTGATAGCTGATGGGGAGTAATACATACCTCATTTTAGAAGTAAAGTTAATGCTTGACAAATATTACTCATTCTTTTCCTTTGAGAGGCATATACCCTGACTGGCTCATGGGTGTTATTTTTTTAAATTTATTTACGAAAACAAAATCGGTGTATTGCTTTTTAATCAAGATGAATTATACTGTATAATTCTATCAAGCAAAGAAGCAAATTACCTGAAAAGTGTTTTAATCATTTGTCTTTACAAAATAAAGGGAAAAAAATATTGTGCTTAGTTGAAGGCGGGACCATCCTTGCATCCTGTAACAAAACAGAATAGATGAGTTAATTGAATTTACATTAAGCAAATACTCATTTATAGCCATTGGTAAGTGAAAGGCTGGAAATTTACTAGGTGCTCCCAGTGGGTGGAGAAGGATTTGTCAGACAAGGTTTAGGATATACAGAAGTACAAAATTTATTTATTTTCCCAAGAAAGAGAGAGAGAGAGAAGGAGGAAAAGGCCACGGCACACAGAGGAAGGGAGGAAGTGCTGGGTAGCTGAGGGAAAAGCTGTTTAGAGTTTTAAAGGGTAAAAATGACTTTTTTCCCCTCTGCTTCAGCAGGCTGATAAGAGAAGTAGTGGCACAGTTGTTGCAGGTGTTCTTTATTTTCTCTCTTTTCTCAGTGAGACCAGCTTATCTGAGTCCTTAAAATCTGTTTTTCGGCAGGAACTGAAGCAGAGTGGGAAAGGGGAGTTCACACCCCTACTGTCCACTTGGGGCTCTTCAAGACTGAGAAAGAACTCTTAGGGATAAGATAAAAGTTAGGCCACAGGTGTTTAATCAAACAAAACAAAGGGCAGTTGTGGGATGAGTTTATTTCTCCTACTTTTTGATAGATTATTTTCCTCTGTTAGGTAGGTTATTGGTAAGGCCACCTTTCAGTAAGCATTCATGGTTAAATTTTCTTCAGAATTATAAGTACACTGATGCCATCTTGTAAGATTGTGGAATAGTTTGTTTTCATCTGTAAGAGCTCAATTCTTTCAAGTACCATGGTTTATACTTTAAGCATTTTGAAATAAATTTAAAGAAAATGTCCTGAAATGTTTGAAAACTGGTAAGTTTTTTTTTCCTCCCAAACAGGTGTATGCTTGGGGTGACAATGATCACGGCCAGCAGGGCAATGGCACAACCACGGTTAATAGAAAGCCCACACTAGTACAAGGCTTAGAAGGCCAGAAGATCACGCGAGTAGCTTGTGGGTCATCGCACAGTGTAGCATGGACAACTGTCGATGTGGCCACACCCTCTGTCCATGAGCCTGTCCTCTTCCAGACTGCAAGAGACCCTTTAGGTGCTTCCTATTTAGGTAATACAAATTTGTATCTTCTCTGCCATCCTACCGTAGGTTACAGCAACATAATAGATTTATTTAGTAGTGCCGACAGATTGGACATTGTGTGTTAACTGCATTATGAATTTAAAGACGTGGAAGAATTATTATGTAGTCTCGTACAATTTATACATGCCAGAATGAAAATTTTAGAAGAAAGTATGTTGTTGATTGTTGTATTTAAGATCAGGTAAACTCTGGCAGTGCAAACCGAAATTTACCAATAATAAGTACTTGAGAGATATAGGTACTGTGCTGGGCTACTTTGTATTTTTTAACAGCTTTCTACAGATAAAACTGACAAACAATAAATTGCTCCTATTTAAAGTATACATTTTGATCAACTTTGACTCCTGTCTTCTCCACTCCAGTCTAAATTGCTCAGTCTCATGTATAGCTCTTTTCATGTCACATTATATGTATAACCTTTTGAGTTTGACTTTTCCTACTCAGCATAATTCTCTAGGGATTCATTCAAGTTGTTCCTTTTTATTACCAAGTAGTATTCCATCATTTAACTATTCACCTATTGAAGGACATTTAGATTATTTATAGTTTTTGGCTGTTATAAATAAACCTGCCATGTCATTCAGATACAGGTTTTTATGTGAAAATAAGTTTTTATTTCTCCGGTATAAATGCCCAAGAGTGATTGCTGGGTCCTGTGTTTGTTGGGAACTTGCTAATCTGTTTTCCAGAGAGGCTGAGCCATTTTGCATTCTCATTAGCAGTGGGTGAGTGATCTAGATTTTCCCTTATCCTCACCACTGTTTTTTATTTTAGCCATTCTGATAGATGTGTCATAAGATATCTCATGTGGTTTTAATTTGTATTTCCCTTATGGCTAATTGTGTTAAACATCTTTTTTTTTTTTTTTTTTTTTTTTGAGACAGAGTCTCACTTTTGTTGGTCCAGGCTAGAGTGAGTGCCGTGCCGTCAGCCTAGCTCCACAGCAACCTCAATCTCCTGGGCTTGAGTGATCCTTCTGCCTCAGCCTCCCGAGTAGCTGGGACTACAGGCATGCGCCACCATGCCCGGCTAATTTTTTTATATATATATCAGTTGGCCCAATTAATTTCTTTCTATTATAGTAGAGAGCGGGGGTTCCGCTCTTGCTCAGCCTGCGTTTTGAACTCCTGACCTTGAGCAATCCGCCCGCCTCGGCCTCCCAAGAGCTAGGATTACAGGCGTGAGCCACAGCGCCCGGCCTAAACATCTTTTTATGTGCTTATTTACCACCCATATCTCTTCTTTGATAAAACATGTCTTCGTGACATTTTCTAAGTGGGCTTTTTTTAGCTGTTACGTTTAGAGTTCTTTATATATTCTAGATGCTTCTAGTCCTCTGTCAGATAAATGTTATACACATGTTTTCTTCTTGTCCATAGCTTGTCTTTTCATCCTTTTTCACAGAACAAACGTTTTAAAATTTTGATAAAGTCTAATTTATCAGTTTTTTTCTTTTATGGATTGTACTTTTGATGCCAAGTGTGAGGATACTTTTACCTAGTCCTAGATCCTAAGGTTTGTCTCCTATGTTTTTTTACCAGAAGATTTATAGTTTTGTGTTTTATAGTTAAGTCATGATCCATTTTTTTTTTTTTTTTTTTTTTTTTTTGAGACAGACAGTCTTCCACTTTGTTGCACCGGCTAGAGTCGAGTTGCCGATGGCGTCAGCTAGCTCACACAATTAAATACCTGGCTGGGATTGCCCTTCTGCCTCACCTTCTTCCGAGTAGCTGGGACTACAGGCATGCGCCACCATGCCTGGCTAATTTTTTTATGTATATATCCAGTTGGCCCAAATTAATTTCTTTCTACTTTATAGGTGAGGAGACGGGGTCTCGCTCTTGCGCTCAGGTTGTTTTGAACTCCTCGACCTTGAGCAATCCGCCCCGTCGGCCCTCCCAAGAGCTAGGAATATACAGGGCCGTGAGCCCACAGCGCCCGGCCATGATCCATTTTTATTTAATTTTTTATCAGGTGAGAGATTGGGTTGAGGTTTGGTATTTTTGCCTATAGGCGTCTGGTTATCCCAGCACCACTGTTGAAAGGCTGTCCTTCCTCTACTGAATGGCTTTTGCACATTTCTCAAAAAATCACTTGGGCATATTTGAATGGTTGTATTTCCAGGTTCTATGTTTTATTCCATTGATTTTGATGCCAGTACCACACGATCTTGATTATGTCAACATTATATTTTTTGAAATTGGATGGACTCTTTTGTCCCCCATTCTTATTTTCTATTTCCATTCTAGCTCCTTTGCTTAAAATTTATATAGTTACATATAAATTTTAGAATAATCTCGTTGATATCTATAAAGACTCTTGTTAGACTGATAGAAATTATATTAAATTCGCTTATCAGTTTGAGTGAGTTGACATGGACACACCTCCTGGCTCTGCCTGGCTCTCTCCCTCTGCTGAGGCCTGGGAACTCTCTGGGCAGTGATTTGGGATGTGGGTCTGGTCAGACTTTGTTGTTGAACATCTACTCTCTCTATTGTTTTGGATTCTTTTTTGTTTTGCTTCCCAGGGGTAAGTAAATACAGGTAGCTATTGTAGCATTTTCATAGCTTATATATATAACATAAATTGTTGTAATTGCATTTTGTGAAAGTATCTACATCTTTTTGCAGTTATAGTGAAACTTTGCTGAAAATAGCTTCTTTATGGAAGTATAGATAAGTGGGTTTTAAAAAAAACTTTGAAAGACCATTAATGAGCCTAATACAAACTTGGTGAAATAGCAAAATGCAGATTGCAGTATGTTTTGGAACTAACCTAAAAGGCCAAACTTTACAGAAATAGGGCAAACTGTGATCTTAAAAACAGATTCCAAATTTTATTTTCCTTTTTTAGGTGTGCCTTCTGATGCCGATTCTTCTGCTACTAGTAATAAAATAAGTGGTACAAGTAATTCTAAGCCAAATCGCCCTTCTCTTGCCAAGATTCTCCTGTCGTTGGATGGAAATCTGGCCAAACAGCAGGCCTTATCGCATATCCTTACAGCACTGCAAATCATGTATGCCAGGTAGGCTGGTGTGCTAAGTTTTGAAATTCTGAAATTATATAAGCTTTGGGTTTTTGGAATTTTTTGGTTAATCAAATGTCTACAAGAATGTTGTATTATCTTTAAATGCTGTGTTTTGTAAGTCACATATCCTTTGATAGTGATTTGATGGTATCTTTGTGCTTGTTTTAATGGGCATTGAAATATGAATCAATAAACCAAGTTGAACATTTTTGTTACTCTTTTTGGTCATTAAACTCTAAGCATTAATATTTAGAGAAGAGAGGAAGAATTATTTGGTACTAATTTACAGTGATGTAAGACATCTTAACATCTCCCTCACTGCCTGGATAAGGCACGGTTTGATAAGTACAGTCTTTTACAGTATTTTTCTGCTGTTTTCTCACAGCTTAAGTGAGTTGCTCATTTATTAACATATCATGGGTGTGGACCCAACAGGTACACTTACCTATGAACATTAATTTCAGAACAAAGCCTGAGTCCATCTTTGAGAGGACGTTTAGTCTTGCTACTAGCATGTGGCACACTTTCAGTAAAAACAGGTATGCCCAATGTTCAGTTCTAAATACTAATATGCTTCATGTTCCTCAGGCTCTGACACCCCAGGAGGGTTTCTTAGGGAGAGATAGAGGCTTATTCTGGTTTGGTTTTTACATTTGGCAGTTTTTCACTTGTCATCACTGTGGTTATTCAAGTAAATAAGATCCAGAGTAAACCTTTCAGCTTTTAGCTGACGGATACATGGTAATAATGTTTGGTATTTTTCCAAAACTCTTTTACATGTATCCTATAAAAATGAGGACATTCCTCATTGACTACTTGTCCTGCCTTGCATGTTGTGTGTCCTGTTGTGCAGTGGTGAAAGGGAGCTCACTGCAGGCCTGGCTTTCTGTTTGACAGAGATGCGGTGGTGGGGGCCCTGATGCCAGCTGGCATGATTGCCCCAGTGGAGTGTCCGTCCTTTTCCTCGGCACCCCCTTCTGATGTGTCGGCCATGGCTAGTCCCATGAATGGAGAGGAATGCATGCTGGCTATTGATATTGAAGACAGACTGAGTCCAAATCCATGGCAAGAGAAGAGAGAGGTAAAAGTAAACTATAGAGCTATAATTAGATCAGAATGGAAAAGGTGGCTACTTCATGTCTAAGAAAGTCTCAGTCACTCTGTCACTTAGTTTAGGCTGTTTATGTGCATTACTTTGATTTTTAGCTTGAATTAGAAAAATATTTAAAGGAGGATTTTTAGTGTTTAAGTGGAATTAGGTTTATTCTTTTTTTTTCTCCCTCCCTCCCTCTAATTAGGTTTATTCTTTAAAAATAAAAATCATTAAATGCAAGTTCATAGCCCTTTATCTGCAACTCGGAAACCTTAAGGCTCTGATAGTCACAAATTTTAGTAACTTGATGAAAGACCCAACTTGAAGATATGTAAGCTCATTTTGGTCTAATTTATAGAACCTGCTGTGAATATAATAGGTTTCCTTGGAAATACCAATGTGCTTAACTTTGCAAGACTACCCCAGGCCCCACTAGGGATGGTAGGTGATATGTGGTATAAGCACTGTTAACCTCTGTAAAATCTGGAACATTTCAAACAGCCCAAGCGATTTTAGGCGAATCATTTTGGACTTGTATAAGAAGTGTGCCGTTTTGCCAAACTTTTCCACTTAAACTTCCCCTCCTTTGTACTCTCCAATTAGATTGTCTCCTCTGAGGATGCTGTGACCCCCTCTGCAGTGACTCCATCTGCTCCCTCTGCCTCCTCTCGGCCATTTATCCCAGTGACAGATGACCCAGGAGCTGCCAGCATCATTGCAGAAACCATGACCAAAACCAAAGAGGTTAAGAAATGTTCTTCATTAACCTTTTATTGTGTAATAATCTTAAATATACACAAAACTTCTTAGAAATAGAACACAGTATACTCCCTATCCTGTTCATTTGTGGGAAAGCTGCAGGATACAGTCCCTGTCAGTGCTCAGGGCCTCAGTGTGTATCCCCTGAGTATCAGGGCATCAGCATTGATCCAGGATTACTTTCTGATCCACAGACCTATTCAGATTTTGTTCATTGTCTCTAGAGTGTCCTTATAGATTTAGTACCCAGCCTAGGATTGTGTGTTGTCTCTTTAGTCTTCAGTGTGGAACAATTCTTCAGAAACACCACAAGAATGATGCAGAGTTCTTTTCAGCTGGGATTCATGCTTTGTTGATTTGTTGCATTACCGGTGGTGTAACTTACCGCTTGGTTAAGGGTGTCTGCCAAGCTTCTCCACTGGAAGTTAATAAGTATTCTTAGGCAGATACCTTGAGACTATGTAAATATCTTATTCCTCATCATACTTACCAATTTTTAGTGTCTATTAATGATTCTAGCTAAATCCATTATTACTGTGTGGCTGTCACTTGGTCATTTTTCAGATTTTATCACTACATCTGGCATGTAATTGTTGCCATTCTCCTGTAAGCGAGAGCATTTCCTACTCCTCTGTTTGTCTATCTGTCTTCTTCTAACTATCTGCCTGTTGGTTTATATTTTACTGTCATTATTTGGCACTCAAATTGTTCCAAACTTGGCCATTAGGAGCCCTGTGGGCTGGTTCCTTTTTCTTTCTGATGTGTCTTCATAATTCTTAGAGCACTTCCTTACTTACTGGTAGAGTACTGTGTTCCAGACTACTCTTTCACCTACCCACTCCTGCCTTTCTCCAAGGAGAAGAAAGTTCCGTTTAGTGGATTGTAGGATTTGGAAACCACGATCTGGGTGCTTGGTAAACTGATTTCTACTGGGTGTATAATCCTTTCATATCTTGCTGGATTTGGTTTGCTACTATTTTGTTGGGAATTTTTCCATCTATATTCATAAGGGATACCAATCTGTAGTCATTTTGTGATACCTTTCTCTGGTTTGGGTGTTAGAGTACTATTGGCTTCATAGATTGAGTTGGGAAGTATTCCTTCCTCTTCTATTTTTTATAAGAGTTTGTGAAGGATTGGTATTAATTCTTTAAATATTTGACAGAATTTTATCTGTTCTAATGGCATATTCCCATCATTCTTTGAGTGTTTCCTTGCTTTTTGGCACAACACAAAATTCCAGGCTCAACAAAGGTGTTTTATGCTCCAACACAGGAATCAGCTGTTTCTTTAAGAAGTCCTGATTCTTTTTAGTGGTGAATGGTATTTAGAAGTCAAAATTTGGGCCCTTCCCATGCTTGTTGCTGTTTGGGTGTCAGAGCTAGAGAGTAAATATAGGTGTGTGAGAATGTACGTGTGTTACGGTGGGTACATACATCAATATGTATGTTGTTATATATCTACATTTATGAAAAATGACTGGTTCATACCAATATGATTCTAATCCAACTAGAATTCATTCTAGTTTTCACTCTTTTTGAATTTATAACTCTCTTCTCTGAAAGTGAAAAACCACGCTTCCATCATCAGCAGGCTATTTACTTATAATTCAGTCCCCCCCATCTTGGCCACCACCTGCCCGCTAGTGGGTGTCCTCCTTCCTCTGCACAGCCTCTGACAGCCAAAATGGGTCTGTCTGCCATGAGGGCAACCTCTTCACCCTGACCTGTGGCCCTACCCCACCACCTCCATGCTGACTGGCCCAAAGCATGGGCACCTTCCTCACTTGCTCTGGCTCTGTCTCGCCAGCCACCCCCATGTGCAGATGCCCTTCCCACCCACTCAGGAGCTCTCTGCGCCAGGCCGCTTCTCCCTGCTCACGCTTTCTCCCTTGCCAGCCTGTCTGCCTTGGGGACAAACATGCATTCTTTTTAATTACATTTGGGAGCTTTGATTTATTATGCTGTTATTGCTGGCAAAAAATATGTCCTATGGAAATTATTTATAACCAACTGTGATAATAAGAACGTCACTATTTATAAATTAGGTGTCTGGACTCAACTTCTGATTTGGGGCAATCTCGTGGCATGAGGATTTAATTCAGAAATTATTCTGAAGAAGGCAAAATTTTTACCTTTAGGTGGAAGAAGGATGATATGATTTCTTCTCCACTAATTTGTTTATGACATGTAGGCATTATCCAGGTTATACACCTAAATTCCTATCATTTCAGTTTTGGTTTGACTCATTAAGGCAAAGTAATTTTAATGTTAGTATTAAGCTATAATTCATATTTAAGGATATGCTGCTGGTGATTTTCTTCTTTAGCAATTCCTCTAGACATATTTTCTGGTTTTTTTTTTAACACTCCTACCAAAAAAAATGTTAGGTCCATTTAAATTGCAAGACCAAGGATATTGTATCTCATTGATATATTTCACTGAATGCTTTTGCTGTCTTTCAGTGCGTTATATTCTGTAATGTCATCATTTCTAATGGATTTCACTTACTGAATTCCTGGTCTCCATGCAGAGGCAGGAGCAAGGTCTGTTTCTCTAAAGGACAAGCTTGTTCCCAGCTCAGAGAGGAGTGGTTTTCAGGGCACACTGGATGGGTCCAGTCCCCTTAACGGGGGCGGTGCCTCTCCTGGCTCATTTCTGTTTGTGAAAGGAGCTGCATTGGGTTTGCTGAGGTCCAGAAAGCAGGACAGAAGAGAAGAAGTGTTTCTGTGGCTCTTGTTCTTCTGGTGAGCCAGACTCTGCCTCGGGGACATGAAGGGCTCCGTACCCCCCCACCCCCAACCCATTGTGCACAAGGTCACAGTAATTCCCATTCCTAGATCAGAAGTTGCAGGATTCCCCAGCGCTGATGGCCTCTTTTCTCCTCTCCCAGAGCTTAGCCCCTGTGCGGAGGCTGTCATGCTACCGAGTGAGAGCTGGGCGTGTGGTGATGCTAGATTACTGGAGCAGACAAGTAGGCTCCTTCCTTTATGAATTATCACAGTGTTTAGCTGATGTAGTGGGAATGGGAAGTAAACGAGTAATAGCAAGACTTTATTTTATGGATTATCTTCTCCAAAGAACCTAAGGAGCAAGAAATTATGCATAATGTGTTACATGCCAATGAGTCACCTTAAATAAGATTCTAGGAAGGAAATATCGAGAGGATCTAGACAAAATAGGTAAAAATAAAGGGCACAGATTTAGTTGATAGGAAATTCCCAAGTATACCTTATGGGTAATGAGTAGATTTTACATGGTGTGACTTCATTCCAAGGCTAATGTCTGCCTGTGATACAAACTGGGTCACAGTAGTAAATTATCATTTCTTTATGGTTTAAGTCATCTCTTTTAGGTAGATACTGTTGGTAATTTTTTTAAAAAGTTGATTGCTCTTGAAAACATAGTAAGTACATGGCTTGGTGGAGATTTTAGGAACTTGTCATTTCTTAATCTGTTTTTTCCATGAGTAAGGGACCTCAAAGTCCCTTATTCATTGGTAGTCATGTGTCCTTTGAGTTTGTGGGTAAACTGGTGACTCTTTATCTGTTATTATTCCTCATGTCAATTGTTGAATGTCATTTAATTTAGGATGTTGAAAGCCAAAATAAAGCATCAGGCCCAGAGCCTCAGTCCTTGGATGAGTTCACCAGCCTGCTGATTGCCGACGACACCCGTGTGGTGGTGGACCTGCTCAAGCTGTCTGTGTGTGGCCGGGCTGGGGACAGGGGCAGGGACGTGCTGTCCGCTGTGCTGTCTGGCATGGGCACTGCCTACCCTCAGGTGAGTCATGGGGCTGGGGCCGTCCTGCCCCATCTCCCTTCTCTGTGCTGGGCTGAGCTCTCTGAGGACATGCTGCTATTGGTCATGTGATCTTGTATTGGATTTTGTCCTCGTAGACAGCAGTTCAGAAACACTCTTTTAAAATAAAACTTTTAATTATTCCCCAGGTGACATCCTTTACCTGTTGTAGAACTGGTTTATGGATCTTTTCCCTACTGACTAATGTTAGAGTTCTTTAAATAAGTGCCCTTTCTATTGTGTATGTTGCAGTTTTCCCTCCAGTTTACCTTTTGACATTAGTTTGATATTTTTTGATATTTTTTGCCATGTAGAAATTTCTAATTTTTATGTAATCATATCTATCAGCTTTTTTCATTTATGGCTTCTGAGTTTTGTATCATGCTGGAAAAATGCTTACATGACATTATTGAAGAAATTCTCCCAAGTTTTCTTCTAATTGTTTTTATGATTTCGTTTATTATGTTTACATCTTTGAGCCATATCGAATTTATCTTGATGTAAGAAATAAAATAGAGATCCAACTTTAGTTTTTCTTGGATAGGAAAGCAGTTGCCTTAACATCATTTATTGAATAATCTGTCTTTTCCCTAGTGATTTGAAAACCACTAAATTCCTATATGTATTTGGGTCTATTTATAGACTGTTTTCTGTTTCATTGATAAAATTTGTTAGGCTGTAATACCAGAATGTTTTAACTGTTACTAAAATATGCTTGGTAGCACTGGGCCCAGTAGGACTTTCTGTCATTGTGAAATGTTCTGTATCTGAGCCATTCAGGGCTGTAGCCACAGGCCATATGTGGCTGTTGAGCACTTAAAATATAGGTAGTAGGCCGGGGCTCACGCCTGTAATCCTAGCACTCTGGGAGGCCGAGGCGGGCAGATCGCTTGAGGTCAGGATTTCGAAATCAGCCTGAGCAAGAGCTAGACCCCTGTCTCTACTATAAATAGAAAAGAAATTAATTGGCCAACTAATATATATAGAAAAATTTTGCCGGGCATGATGGCGCATGCCTGTAGTCCCAGCTACTTGGGAGGCTGAGGCAGCAGGATCGCTTGAACCCAGGAGTTTGAGGTTGCTGTGAGCTAGGCTGATGCCAGGGTACTCAATCTAGCCTGGGCAACAAAGCTAGACTCTGTCTCAAAAAAAAAAAAAAAAA